CATGATCACATTCGTCACATATTCCTATATTGTATATATAATTGCATCCTATAACCTTCCTCGTTGTAATTCGAATGTAGGTTTTGTTTTATGATACTGAAACTAGGTCTTTGACAATGAAATGACGTAACTCTTTTCTTATTCAAAATTTCGGAAAGTTAGTATACACTGCAATGCATTTCCCGTTAATTGCAGAGAATATTTTAATGTCCATTTAATACAAAACAGGGAAATATTTATATCTAATGTTGTCAGGCCGCGCTGTCTTGATCTTAATTCGTCAGTGAGTGAGTGAGTATCGTTTAACTCCGCTTTTAGCAATATTCGAGCAATATCACGACGGGGGACACCAGAAATGGGCTTCACACATTGTACCCATGTGGGAATTGAACCTGGGTCTTCGGCGTAACAAGCCAAACGCTTTAACCACTAGGCTACCCCACCGCCCCTTAATTTGTCAGTGTATGTATGCATGCGTGCATTGAGGGAGGTTCGAGTCCAACAATAGAATACTAGAAATGTCTTTTGCTTCGAGATAATGAAAATGATACATTCGTATCAAATACACCTTTCGATTTAACATCGAAAAACCATTTATAGTTTAAGCCACCAACAAAGGTCCATACATTTTACCTGGCAGTCACTGTACAGTTTATGTCAAAGTTAAGGGTAGAACGTTTATATTCACGATCAGATTATGTAAATATAAACAACACAACAGAACGGAATAGAATCACAACAATGGGTTTATGAAAACTAAACACTTGGATAAAGGGCACCATGGACTCGCCTAAAGCGGCTTGATATGAATGAGTATAGTTTTACGCCGTTTTTGTTCAATACCCGCAATATCACAGCGGAGGACACCAGAAATGGAATTCTCACAAAGTACCCATGTGAGGAATTGAACCCCTTCCTTCGGCGTGACGAGCGAACGCTTTTACCACTTTTACCACTAGGAGGGATGTTTAAACTCGTGGTTTTAAAAGATGTAAACGTTAACAAACACGTTGCTTTGGATTTTCCCCTTCAGTCAAGCATGAACCCCTGTCATAATTAATGTGGGAGTATTTTCACAGTCGGGGCTCATGCCAATGCCTATCGTCCATGGGTGGCTGTTTAGATTAGTGGTTAAAGTATTCGGTCATCACGTCGAATGCCGGGGTTCGATTTCCATCTTGAATACAATGTGTGAAGAATTTTTCTGGAGACCCTGCTGTGAATTAAGAAATACAGTTCGCTCTACCACCATGTATAGTGTAATAAAACACACTTTCGCCCTGAACTATTATAGTTAAACTACGAGGACGCTTGCGTCCGAGTGCTTTAACGGTATAATTGTTCAGGGCGAAAGTGTGCTTTATTACACTTTACATGGTGGTAGAGCGAACTGTAGTTCTTTTCTAAGTTCCCAAATTTAATACTTTCTAAGGAAAATTACGATTAATTTAAGGCAGAAAACAAACGACGGTGTCGGTGACCTAAATTAAGAATCCTCGCACAGGGCTAACTGGCGCGCTGTTCTATTGATATGTCTGCCCCCCTACGTTAAGACGAACGTTACCAGAAAAAAACAAATGATAACAGTTTGATGACGGTTTACGTTCCGATTAAATATCGTCTCTGAATTATTGTAATTACATCTGTTATTAACGTAAACCATATGGGGCAATATGAACGTCGCATTTCTACTACCAATGTAAGTTTAGATCAGTACATCCAAATAAAGGTGAGTAGTCAGGCGACATTCCACGATTGCATTGTGGGAATGTAAACATTGCGAACGTTACCGTGTCGCTGAAAACTTGTGAATCGAATTGACACATTTTACCCGTCGTAAAACATAAACGTAATGTTTCCACCTTTGATGTTAGCTGCGTGAAGCAACTGCAAACCAAGAAACGGAATGCAACGGAGTAGTTTACTGTAGGAGGCCGAACGAGGCGATGACAACTGACAAGCATCGTGACGTCGCTTACATTGTGACGTAATGTAAAATAGTTCGATTACGAGGGGGCACACTAGAATGGCGCAGTGACGGGAAAACGTCATTCAATTGTTACGACATCAAAAAACTATACCTTTATTGTCTGATAATGCAATTTTTTTCCGATTGTTCTAACCGCAAGGCATCTTAGAAATTGGAATAAGCGGCGTAAAATCACACTGTATTCCCAACTAGCTCTCTGCCTTCTGGCCAACATTTCATGTACGAAATTAAAACACTGGACAAATCACGTCTCAACGGCAGTCGAACACCACAGCAATATTACATTACTTTCACAGTAATTTGACGAACACATCACCTCGACTGCCTCAAGTCTTTCTCTTCATCCGGTTATGTACACTTTAGCGCGCTCGTGTGTATTCAGTATTTTCCGGTACTGAACCACGCACACTTCTCAAAATGTTCCACTTCCTGTTGATCATCAACATGAACTTGCATCATATCCAGTATATGATTCACATATAACCATGATCAGTCAAATACACAGGGAAATGGAAAATAGGAAAGTCACCTGTTGAGTAAATTCAAGGTTAACAGGAGAACTCATTTGTTACGTGACAGATGCTGAGGTTCAAGTGACGTCGCTTCCGAATTGAAACCAGCGGACAACTGGTAAAGTATGTATCATTATATACTAGCCACATAAAGAAACTGTGCATTGTCAAAATATTATCCCAGTTGATAAGTACGATAACAATGTCAAAGGTACATATAAACTTTAATGGAGGGATCATGAGACAATAACAAGTCGGGAGAATTTCAGTTGAAAAGTCAATCACAATGACGTCACGAGTCCACAAGCGGGACGGGTCAAACGACCATGACACAAGCTCAATAACGGTATGTCCTCCATCGGCATTGAGAACAGCAGTGCATCGACGACGCATAGAGCCTATCAAACGTGCAAGGAAGGCTTGTGGGATGTCACGCCAGATTCTCTCAAGTTCTGTTGCAAGGTCAAGGACGTTATCTGGCGGATGAGGAAGACGGCGTAGACGTCGATCCATCTCGTCCCAAACATGCTCTATCGGGGAGAGATCCTGTGAATTTGCAGGCCAAGGCAGTAAGCCAGTAAGCCAGTGGTGTTGCAAGAAATCCATAGCAACCCTTGCCGTATGAGGGCCGGCATTGTCCTGTTGGAATGTTAACCCAGGGCTATGACGTTGCAGAAAAGGAATTGCCACAGGTCGAAGAATCTGATCCCTGTAGCCCACACCAGTTAAGTTGCGCTGAACAATCACCAAACGAGTTCTTTGGCGTGCTGTTATTACACCCCAAATCATCACGGAGCCACCACCGAAGCGATTCCTCTCCAAGACACAGGCCTGTGCATAACGTTCTCCCACGGGTCTATAGGCACGTTGACATCCATCACTATGGGAAATGTTAAACCTGGACTCATCTGTAAAAACAACATTTCTCCACCAAAACAAGGGTCTGCGGACATGATTTCGGCACCACATTCGGCGAGCTTGTCGATGACGTTGTGTCAGAATAGGCCGTATGGCGGGACGTCGTGGAGTGATCCCGTGATGACGTATACGTTGTCGAACTGTGTTTGGGTGGATACGGCGAAGTCCTGGGATGGTTCGGGCAGTCATCACTGCAGTCTGAAACCTGTGGCGAAGATGGGTCACCCTTATCCATATGTCCTGTCTTGGCGTTGTTACACGCGGACGTCAAGAACGTGGCCGCTCGATGACGTCATTTGTGTTCTGGTAGCGTCTCACCAGTGCAGAAATGGTGTTTCGGTGGCAGTGGAAATGTGCAGCCACTTGTCGTTGAGACATTCCCCCACGGACCATCCCAATGGCCTCATGACGTTGTGCAGACGTGAGCCTTGGCATGTTATTCGTTTCAATAGCCGTTTAATTTTTTGAACGATCGCAAGGGTAGGGGGTTCAGCTTTCCAAAGTGACAGTATTGTGTGGCATTCATTTGCTCTGTTTCTCTTTCCCGGAATGCATGTGCAACAACGTATTGCACGTCTCAAGGACGAACCCACTGACGTCACGGAACGTGGCACGTGCATGCATGTTGGATACGTGTCACTAATCTCTGAGTTTAAATCCTTATGTGTCTACACAGGTTTGATACATTTAGATTTTAATTTTTTGTATGCACAGTTTCTTTATGTGCCTAGTATAGAATGGAGATACAAAGTCGGATCTAAAATGTGAATTACGACTGAGAGAAACATTCAGAGGGAGGTTGTAGAACATGTGTAGGGATGTTATGTAAACAAGTAAAATATAATGCTTGTTGTAAAGGCGACTAAAAGGGTGGCCAGACTCGCTGACTGGGTAGACACGTCATCGTCCACCAAATGAGTAGATCGATAATCATGCTGTTGATCACTGGATTGTCTGGTCGAGACTCGACATACATATGGAATATTGCTGGGTGCGGCGTTAAACATTAAACAATACTAAAATATTACATAAATACGGAAGCAGTGTTGAACAAATTCATGTTGTATAACATACTTTCTAGTGAATGTGACAGACCGAGGCATGAAACTACATGCAATCATTCCATCGGCATTTTGTCTTGATATAGTGGATGGAGCGTCTGTTGGTTAAGATATGTCTCATTCGTTTCACCTTCGGGGTACCGTGCACATTTGTGAAATGTCCTGTACGCAATACAGCGGTGTATCATAATATTCATTCACACACGGTCAGTTTATCGTGAGCCCACTCCACAAATACTCTACCTTCAGTTGTTGGCAATCTATAGCCCGTTTTTATATTGTATTGTCTTTCATAGTTAAGATGTTTTAGACTTCATACTAGTTTTACATTTATTACTATGATATTCTAGTTATTTTACTGTCCTTTGCAGACAGGTAAGTATATTCTCTAAATTTGCTTTTATTCATTTATATAGTTCAACTTTCTTAGTCACGATATGGCTTAATTACTGCCGATGAGACTTTAAACTTTAACTCACTCACTCACTCATACAAATACAAGAGTCAAATAATAAAAAGTAAAAACGGTAATTTTATTGCATGGCTTGGTGATCTATAAAACAATCTATGTACATGGAATAACCGGTCTTAATTATCCCGAGAAACACAAAGGCATAATTATGTTGCGAAACAGCCACCATGCATACAAACCAGCGGTGAAGATCAGTGAAGGCACTATGATAGGATAGCACATTTCAGCTGAATATTTCATGTTAGTTATGAACGTATTTTCAGCGCACTCGTTTGTTGACAAAGCATAGCCGAAGCATGTGGATAATCATAGGCGGATGTGGGGTGTGGGGTGGTGGTGCAGGAGTGCACACCCCCTCCCCCTTTTGTCTTGAAAGTTTATTAAATGACCACTGTATATCGTGAAAACGGGTGAAAATGAAGTGTGCACCCCCTTTCTCTAGAGTGTGCAACCCCCACCCCCACCCCCACCCCCAAAACCTTCTTTCTCAAGACTGTGCACCCCACCCCTTCTCAAAAACTGTACCCGCCCCTGAGGATAGGACAGTATATCGTACCTTGATATGTCAGTCATGTTATGAGCTTATATACAACACTCTCGTTTGTCGACAAAGCATGACCGAAGCATGCAGACAGGACCGTATATCTTAATACGTTATTCCTGTTATATTGATATACGCTGGAGAGTGACGAAACATTACCGCTGTTTGAAAATATACAAACTTCTGTTTGTATCTAGACCCGATCTTGCAGTGTGGTGGACTGGGGAGAGGGCTCTTCCTCCGTGTCATCCACAACCTGTCGTGTTCCCCTTCCCCGGCGTGGGGTTTGGGAGGCTGTTCCCTGCCGTTCCATGAAGTATTCACTCGCTGGTCGCATCGGCACCGGCCCTACCTATAACGTAAAACCATCAGTCAGACACCGTCTGTGGTCGAGTGGATAGAGTGTCTGCACAAACAGCGAAAGGTCGGGTTTGTATCCCCAATCATGTCTTACGATATGACCTAAAAGATGATACTCTGTTTTTCCCTGCCTGATGCTCTTCATAAAGGGGATAAAACAAGACAGGTCCGCGCGGAGACAGTAGAAAGTGTCTGAGTGGGGTATAGATGATAAACTTGGGTCATGGTATTTTTACATAATAATTGAACCAGTGAAGATTCGGGTTAGAATTATCTTCAGCAAACCATGCTTGTCAGGTGGTTAGCTCGCCGACTTGGTTGACACATGTCATCGCTTCCCATAGATCGATGCTCATGTTGTTGATCACTGGATTGTCAAGACTCGATTATTTACAGACCGCCACCATATAGCTGGAATAATGCTGAGTGCGGCGTTAAACCACAAAAGAACAGAAAACAAACAAACATAATGATTGCTCTTCGAACTGCGGTTTCACGTTACGACGGCGATTGTACGTGTGTTTCGGAATTGTGTTGGGGATGTGTAGGGGTGGGAAGAGGAGAACTGTACTTACATCTCCGTTGCCCTCCTCCTGCACGGCCTCAGTCAAGTCTTCATCTGCAAACATCACATACATTATACTCAATACTGTGTTTCAATTGTTCAAAATATCCAATGTGATTCCATGGATATTATTGTTTTACGACAATCGTAGACCTTGGCATCGCTCCATCAAGCTGCCTCAGTTCTAATGCTTGCGATCTTCGAGAGCTAAGATCAGGAAAAGGGACCCGTTTCTAGAGCGATCTTAGTGCAATGACTGTCATATGCCTCTGTTTAATGGCCGAGAGTTACGTCATCTTAGCTCTTGCACAAAGCGATCTTAGCGCTACTAAGATCTTAATTCGCTTACTTTAAGAAAGACATACGAACGTCGTAGCGCCTTTGAGAATATCACAATGCTTTGTGCTAGTGGATCCCCAGACGGGCAGTAATGGACGTCACGGTTGATAATGTGGTCTGAACTATCTCAACCAAAATCAGTAATTTGACCCGAATGTGTATAGCTTTGTACCCTATGTACTCTGTCTCTCAAAAGTTAATGAAGTCTTTATCAAAAAAATGTACACTTTGTACTATTTCAAGGCGAATTAGTTACAACGTTTTTAGAAATGTAACTCCCACTCCCAGAATTAAGCACACATGTGTCGTCTGTTTGTGACAACGGAAAAAGACACAGCTATTGCGTATCTTAGGGAGTGGAGATTTGTGATCAATGGGATCGGTGTGCTACCATTTGATATTCCAAACAGTCTGGGATTTGTTAAAGAATATAATAATTGGTGCATTGTTCTGAAAACGACACGTGAAGATCCGGGTTAGAATTGTTCTTCAGCACCCTATGCTTGTCGTAAGAGGCGACTAACGGGATCGAGTTGTCAGGCTCGTTGACTTGGTTGACACATGTCATCATATCCCAATTGCGTAGATCGATGTTTATTCTGTTGATCACTGGATTGTCTGGTCCAGATTCGATTATTTACAGAACGCCGCCATATACTAGTAGCTGGAATATTGCTGGGTGTGGCGTAAACTTAACCCATTCCCTCACCTAAATATCTTTGGAATTACTGGCCAGAAACTACGCTCAGATGATTGGAGTTCTGTCCCTCAGGAAATAACTAATGGCATTGTAGACAACGAACCTGGATTATCCGGCAAACTAGATATACCACTGCTGCACGAGTACACTGTAAAGAGAAAGAAATCGAAAATTAAATAATCGGTGGGATTGTCGAGTACCATTTTTATACGAACCACATTAGAAATGAAATAGATTAAATCCACCAAAAATTCTTAATTCAAGACGATGAAACGTCCATTAACTAAAGCCAGATTACCTGAATCTCTGAGGCCGGCAGGGAGGTTACCGATCAGCTCGGAAATTTCCATATTTGTTTCGCCAAGTTCATTAATGATATCTTTGACCATTTTTGGCATGGTGGAATTCCTGGAGATGGTGTCCTCAACCGGAGCTGCTGCCTCATATTTCCCCTGTATTTGTAGCTGCTTCAGTTGGAACAGGTACCCTGTGTTGGTTTGTAGCTGCTGGTACAGTTCTTGCTTAATCTTAGCACATATCTGTTCAACTTGCAGTTCTTTAATGCCCTCAGCCATAGCGGGAGATCACGTGACGTCCTTGCAAGATAAAGGGTAAGATCCAGTGAAAGCTTCGGTGTTGCTGCGATCTGTGTCTTCAGGTCCCTTTCCGAAAAGATGAGCTCTCTCTCTTGTAAGTCATTTGTGGCTACCTAACGTGTTTTAAGCTTAAAAAGGTGTGCGGATAACCAGGGTCAAAAAGGCATCTCCAGCTTCATTGACCCTAATGAGTTCCCCTTTAAATGTCAATTACGCCAACTGAAAACGAAATAAGAAAAATATGATTCAACAAATCTGAATGTTTTATGTGTTTTTCACTGTCACAAGTGTTTGTGAACCGGTAATACTTCTAAATGGATTCTTATATGAAACATTTACATTCAACAAAACACGTCACTGGGAAAGACTAAACTGACACGCGTACTTGTCAATACATAAAGTGTGTTTGTTGTTTAACGCCGCACACAGCAATGTTCCAGCTATATGACAGCGTCAGTAATTAATCGAGTCTGGACCAGACAATACAGTGATCAACAGCATGAGCATCGATCTGCGCAATTCGGAACCGATAACATATGTCAACCAAGCCAGCGAGCCTGACCACCCGCTACCGTTAGTCGCCTCTTACGACAAGCATGGGTTACTGAAGATAAATATTCTAACCCGGACCTTCACGGGTCATAAATTGAGAGAAAAGACACACGTAATGAAATAATAGTGTGAAATAAAAAAAGCAGGAGAAAATGTCTATGAATTAAAGTCCATGAATAATATGGTGAAATAAAGTGTGTGAATAATAGCCTGAAAATAGTTGCGTCTTGAGTTTTGATTTGAATACCGTTAATGATGATGAAAGTTGAGTTTGCCAGAGGACGTTTGTTCCATGGTCGAGGAGCTGCGTGACTAAAGGACTTCTGTCCATAGCTGGTAAGATTATACTTTGGTGTGTTCAGAAGATTCAGATTTGGAGATCGAAGAGTCTTTATAGGGATGTAGTCTACTAGCATATAAGAAAGATATGGTGGTGCAATGCCATTTTGACATTTGTACACCATACATAGAACTTTAAAGTGGATTCTCGCTTCAGTGGGAAGTCAATGCATATACTTAAGGTCACATGCAACCAAAACTACACACGTAATTAAAACACAATTATCACTTATTCATGACATGTAATATACATCGCTGATTATGAAAAAACAAATAAACAAAATTATAAGCGTACAATCGCAAATCAAAAGTGCAATATTTTGTACTTGGTTTACTTCCCTCGAAACGAAGCAGCCGGGATACCGAACCCAGTCAGAGCGGGTGGTCGCGCACTTAAGTGTAATGAAGTGTTTCATTGGCTGGTTCATTTACCGATACACTCAGAATTCTTTTTGTGTGTATAGAAATGTTTTGTGTATAACATTTTGCAATTAACAGGCACCATAACATGTCATGTGTACAATTATCACACCTGCCTGTCTGTGTAATTACATAATGTGACAGAGACAGAACTCGTGTGCACGAGCCATAAATCAATGCGTTTTGTTTATGGTGTATAGCCTGATAGGTGTTAAGTTCAAATTGCGTGTGGTCAGTGATCGAAGTTGTGTATTGCATATTGTCATTAGCAGACATGCAGGCAGACACATTTTAACTGCGCATGCGCCATGAGCGCAGTGCAGCACAGCTGTTGAATCAACTTTTCACCCCAGCTGAGGTGAATTTAGTGAATCTTTTGAACTCCCAGTTCGCGGGGTATTTTTCATCGCGTTATTTTTCAACTTTATAAGTTGAATTTGCATTTTTGATCATTTGTTACTTTAAGTCCATACCGAAAGGCATCAGAATCTGCAAAGTTGTGTTTTACGTTGCATGTGACCCTTAAGAACTGGCGTTACGTGCGATGACATATGGATCAGTCAAACCTGGATTCTGTGGAAGTGTCTCTAAAAATGTTAAACCGTTTTGATAACGTACACAACTGTTGCTGTTGATTCTGAACCAGGAATTCAGTCATTTTGGGTATGCATTTTCATATTGAAGTTAAACGTAGCAGTTATAGGTTACATTGTAGAGATATTACGCAAACTATACAATGTCGGAAATTCAACGTTTCTTAGGTTCTTGATATTCTTCCTCAATCAACACTATCATATTTTATAGAGTAAAGAAAACCTTTCTTTGACCGAGGTTTCTGATAATAAATAAGTCTATTTTGATGTTCCCTGCAGCTCGTGTATATATTCTTTTTTGTTAAAGGCTTTGACTAAGGTCAGATGCTGTTCAAATAATTTTAAAGCCACTGAATACAATAATACAAATATGTTCAAAATTATAAAACCCCGCTGATTTATTATGTCTTTAGCTGTGGAGTTGATGAGGGAAGACAAATATCATGTTCTGTTTATATGTCCATATTACGTCCAAAACCGGGAACGGGGGCGGTTGGGTAGCCTAGTGGTTAAGGCGTTCGCTCGTCACGCCGAAAACCCGGGTTCGATTCCCCACATGGGCACAATGTGTTAAGTCCACTTCTGGTGTCCCCCGCCGTGATATTGCTGGAATATTGCTAAAAGCGGCGTAAAACTAAACTCACTCACTCAAAACCGGGAACATAGTTTACCTTTGTACTATTATAGCCATCCATGTACTCAACATTCATTACCTTGTTATCAACAACAAACAGTAATTTACTGCTCAGCTTAGTCGCCTACCTGTATAAAGTATTCAAATCAAAATTATAGCGCTCTGATAATGTATGATAAACTATACTCGAGGTCTCTAGGCCCCGAAATGCAATAAACATCTGTTATTCTGTTAATTCTGATTTACTTGCTACACAGAACCAAAGGCTGTTTCATCGTGTTTCCAGTAGAACCTTGATCCAAATCATGTGCTTCGGTGAACTGCTTGCGTCGTGAACAGCGAATGCAACATATACTATTCACACTTTGCTAAGGATCAAACCATTGATTCAACAGAAAACTATATGATGTGGTGTCTTATGTGGTTTAAATATCTAAGCTTATTGTAAGCATGGACCCTAGGTTTCAGTATGTCACTGCATCTTGTGGATCCCATACCTGCTATTCACAGGTGTTGTGTACTTGTCAGTGACTCATTCTACGATTTGCAAAATGGTTGATTGGTGCCATGAAAACCATTTTTATGGTTACTCATGTATCAAGTGCATAAGGTTAGATTAAAGTGGCTGTTTGCCTAAAGAGGGGTTACCATATCATTACTTATCTGGTTTTAAATGGATACAATTTCAAATTATAAATCTATGTTTAAGTAAAGTTGGGAATTTTTGTGATACTTAGCAAAGTGTGAGTAGTATACTTCACCTCCTAGTACACTTGCTTTACAAGCGTTGGGGCAGATCTGGGTGGTAAGTTCAAATTCGCTGTCAAATCCCAGCTTAACGGCGATCACAACATCGGAACGTTTACCTATAAAGGGAGACATTGTCACTTACCTTTCGTTTGATAACCCGCCACTGGCTGATTAAGGCGACATCACAGGTGCGCTACATTGACACGGCTAAAACGCAATTCACCACTGAACGACAAATATTGTTTAATCCAACCGGCTACACGTCTCGCCTTGAGAACGTCGCCTTCAGAAATGAACACCCTGGTATGAGAGCATTATGTTGTTGTGTGCACGTCGTTACTTCCTGGATGGATCTGCTGCTAATTATAGACCTTACATGTTACTCCTAACTTCCTTATTCTATACCTCTGTAATATAATATTGTCAATGAAGAAATACAATGTTGTTGCATACATTTTGTACTCTCGTCAAAGGTTCCTTCTATCTTTGGAATGGGGTGGCTCCATAACTGAAGGCGTTGCAACTCGACATGCAGGGTTGCATCCCTTGCTGTCGCTGCCCGTGTAACTTCCATAAGGCAACATTTTATATATGACCAGAAATTATTGAGAATTTTAGGAATATGTTTAATTGGATTTCCAGTGTAAACAACCTTGACTAGCTATCAAGTGCTTGGTTTCATTCAAGAGAGACAACTCCGTTAATCCTTCTTCATTAGTTTGTGAAGAGTTACCCCCCTTTGTTTACTTGCTAGCAGACGACATTTTCAGTGATCCTCAGTATGGATGATTTAGGGAAGAGGAAGTTGATTTTAGAGATATTATAACAAGGACATCAGATCAGCTAAATTGATTTCAAGTAAAAAAGGCATCCCTTTGTGGGGTGGCATATCTGTTAGGGGCAACGTCCCTCTGTGTATTTGAAGGGAATATGAGCAGTGAGAGTTACACAGATATTCTCGAGGGACATTGACTTCCATCCGCCCAAATTTTTGGATTTTCCAGCAGGACAACTACCCAAAACATCGTTCAAAGCATTCAGAGGCCTGGTTTCGGACCCAAAATATGACATTATTAGATTGGCCAAGCTATAGCCCTGACCTAAATCCAATAGAAAATGTTTGGGGACTTACTAAGGAAAGTGTCAATAAGAAATATCTGACAAATATTGCTAAAATGAAAGAAGAGGTGGTCCGATATTGGGACAGCATGGAACACGACTTTCTAACTTCTTTGATCAGTAGTATGCCCCGTCGCATTGAAGCCTGCATTGCTGCCCATGGTGACTTGACAAAATACTAACTGTTCACCTGTCTTTGAATCTGGAGTTATGTTCTGCTAATATTCACATTTAATACGTGAGTAATGAGTGAAAAAAAATAAAAAATTACAATCTTTAAATTCTCAATTATTTCTGGTTGTACTGTATTTCCGTGTTCCTCATCGCCCAATCGAAATAATTCGGCCGCCGACCCGAAAATATCAATACATTGTAATATAATCTGCTCATTCAAATGGTCATTGGACTCTTTCCGTTCTGTGTCAATGCTGGTGGGAGGGATGTTTGTAGAGTGAGTGAGTGAATTTAGTTTTACGCCACACTCAGCAATATTCCAGCTATATGGCGGCGGTCTGTAAATAATCGAGTCTGGACAAGACAACAGTGATCAACAGCATGGGCATCTATCTACGCAAGTGGGATACGATGACGTGTCAACTACGTCAACAAGCCTGAACACCCGATCCCGTTAGTCGCCTCTTACGACAAGCATGGGGATGTAGGTAGAAGATAAGTGAAAATTCACAAGAAGTCTAGGCGCCAGGTATTCACATTCTACTTTCCGTTAATTTCATTTTTTAATACACTATCATATTTCATAGAGTAAAGGAAACCTTTCATTGACCGAGGTTTCTGATAATAAATAAGTATATTTTGATGTTCTCTGCAGCTTCGTCAATCTCTTTCAAAATCTGCACATTTAACAACAGACGATTTCGCTGTATATATTCTTTATATTTTCTTAAAACCAAAGAAAACAGAATACATTAGCTTTAAAGACACTTCTTCTTCTTTTACAGTTTCAGATTTTCCAAAGACACTCCTAAACAGGCAAAATAATGCATAATCAAAGTTACAGATGTTTTTGTCTTCTTTACTGATGTAGATATGAACAAAGCAAGATTAAGAAATTCATATTTTAAGTTTTCAAACCGACCGACTGACCCGACTTAAGATCACAGTGGCTACTTGGAACACACGAAAGTACAGTCCTTACAGTGACGAGCCCGGCCAGTATTACAGGGGCCGGGGAGATCTGGAGAGGGTGTCCCTACCGGCACGCTGAGGACTAGGAGGAGATAGTCTGTCTCACTGTCCCTGAACCACATTATTTACCCCACGTCTCACACAGTTCACATCTAATCTAGGCCACTCTATTTGTTCTCTCCTTACCACGAGTCGTCTGCCGGTAATTGTGTACCCCAACTGCATGTCGTAGTGTGCGTGTCCTACACGCATACCCTTCTGTCTCTGTGCCATGTCTGTCATATTTGCGTTGTCTGCATAATCTATTATGTCTCCCTTGGCTACATAAATCTCTGCCAGTTATATATATCTTGGGTACATGTCTGTCAGTCATATCTATCTTGGGTACATGTCTGTCTGTCATATCTATCTTGGGTACATGTCTGTCTGTCATATATATCTTGGGTACATGTCTGTCTCTCATATATATCTTGGGTACATGTCTACCAGTCATATCTATCTTGGGTACATGTCTGTCTGTCATATCTATCATGGGTACATGTCTGTCTGTCATATCTATCATGGGTACGTGTCTGTCTGTCATATATATCTTGGGTACATGTCTGTCTCTAATATATATCTTGGGTACATGTCTACCAGTCATATCTATCTTGGGTACATGTCTGTCTGTCATATCTATCATGGGTACATGTCTGTCAGTCATATGTATCTTGGTTACATGTTTGTCAGTCATATCTATCTTGGGTACATGTCTGTCAGTCATATCTATCTTGGGTACATGTCTGTCAGTCATATCTATCTTCGGTACATGTCTGTCAGTCATATATATCTTGGGTACATGTCTGTCAGTCACATCTATCTTGAGTACGTGTCTGTCAGTCATATCTATCTTGGGTACATGTCTGTTAGTCATATATATCTTGGGTACATGTCTGTCAGTCATATCTATCTTGGATACATGTCTATCTGTCATATATATCTTGGGTACATGTCTGTCAGTCACATCTATCTTGGGTACATGTCTCTCTGTTAGTCATATATATCTTGGGTACATGTCTGTCAGTCATATATATCTTGGGTACATGGCTCTCTGTCAGTCATATATATCTTGGGTACATGTCTGTCAGTCATATCGATCTTGGGTACATGTCTCTCTGTCAGTCATATATATCTTGGGTACATGTCTCTCTGTCAGTCATATCTATCTTGGGTACATGTCTGTCTGTCATATCTACCTTGGGTACATGTCTCTCTGTCAGTCATATCTATCTTGGGTACATGTCTGTCAGTCATATATATCTTGGGTACATGTCTGTCAGTCATATCTATCTTGGGTACATGTCTGTCAGTCATATCGATCTTGGGTACATGTCTCTCTGTCAGTCATATATATCTTGGGTACATGTCTCTCTGTCAGTCATATGTATCTTGGGTACATGTCTGTCAGTCATATCTATCTTGGGTACATGTCTCTCTGTCAGTCATATATATCTTGGGTACATGTCTGTCTGTCATATCTACCTTGGGTACATGTCTCTCTGTCATATATATCTTGGGGACATGTTTGTCTGTCATATCTATCTTTATCTTGGGTACATGTCTGTCTGTCATATCTATCTTGGGTACATGTCTGTCTGTCATATCTATCTTGGGTACATGTCTGTCAGTCATATATATCTTGGGTACATGTCTCTCTGTCAGTCATATATATCTTGGGTACATGTCTGTCAGTCATATCTATCTTGGGTACATGTCTCTCTGTCAGTCATATATATCTTGGGTACATGTCTGTCTGTCATATCTACCTTGGGTACATGTCTCTCTGTTAGTCATATATATCTTGGGTACATGTCTGTCAGTCATATATATCTTGGGTACATGGCTCTCTGTCAGTCATATATATCTTGGGTACATGTCTCTCCGTCAGTCATATATATCTTGGGTACATGTTTGTCAGTCATATCGATCTTGGGTACATGTCTCTCTGTCAGTCATATCTATCTTGGGTACATGTCTCTTTGTCAGTCATATGTATCTTGGGTACATGTCTGTCAGTCATATGTATCTTGGGTACATGTCTGTCAGTCATATATATCTTGGGTACATGTCTCTCCGTCAGTCATATATATCTTGGGTACATGTCTCTCCGTCAGTCATATGTATCTTTGGTACATGTCTCTCTGTCAGTCATATATATTTTGGGTACATGTCTCTCTGTCAGTCATATATATCTTGGTTACATGTCTCTCTGTCAGTCATATCTATCTTGGATACATGTCTGTCAGTCATATCGATCTTGGCTACATGTCTCTCTGTCAGTCATATATATCTTGGGTACATGTCTCTCTGTCAGTCATATCTATCTTGGGTACATGTCTCTCTGTCAGTCATATCTATCTTGGGTACATGTCTGTCTGTCATATCTATCTTAGGTACATGTCTGTCAGTCATATGTATCTTGGGTACATGTCTGTCTGTCATATCTATCTTGGGTTCATGTCTGTCTCTCATATTTGTCTTATCAAACACGCCATGTCTAAATGTCTGTCTGTCTGTCACATCTGTCTTATCTACATGTCTGTATGTCTGTCACATCTGTCTTATCTGCATATCTGTCTGTCACTTCTGTCTTATCTGCATGTCTGTATGTCTGTCACATCTGTGTTATCTATATGTTTGTCTGTCTGTCTGTCTGTCTGTCACATCTGTCTTATCTTCATGTCTGTCTGTCACATCTGTCTTATCTTCATGTCTTTCTGTCATATCTGTCTTATCTTCATGTCTGTCTGTCACATCTGTCTTATCTTCTTGTCTGGCTGCAACATCTGACTTGTCTTCATGTCTGTCTGTCGCATCTGTCTTATCTTCATGTCTGTCTGTCTGTCACATCTGTCTTATCTTCATGTCTGTCTGTCTGTCACATCTGTCTTATCTTCATGTCTGTCTGCAACATCTGTCTTATCTTCATGTCTGTCTGTCACATCTGTCTTATCTGCATGTCTGTCTGTCATATCTGTCTTATCTTCATGTCTGTCTGTCAAATCTGTCTTATCTTCATGTCTGTCTGTCATATCTGTCTTATCTTCATGTCTGTCTGTCTGTCACATCTGTCTTATCTTCATGTCTGTCTGTCACATCTGTCTTATCTTCATGTCTGTCTGTCACATCTGTCTTATCTTCTTGTCTGTCTGCAACATCTGTCTTATCTTCATGTCTGTCTGTCACATCTGTCTTATCTTCATGTCTGTCTGTTATATCTGTCTTATCTTCATGTCTGTCTGTCACATCTGTCTTATGTTCATGTCTGTCTGTCATATCTGTCTTATCTTCATGTCTGTCTGTCACATCTGTCTTATGTTCATGTCTGTCTGTCACATCTGTCTTATCTTCATGTCTGTCTGTCATATCTGTCTTATCTTCATGTCTGTCTGTCACATCTGTCTTATCTTCATGTCTGTCTGTCATATCTGTCTTATCTTCATGTCTGTCTGTCTGTCACATCTGTCTTATCTTCATGTCTGTCTGTCATATCTGTCTTATCTTCATGTCTGTCTGTCTGTCACATCTGTCTTATCTTCATGTCTGTCTGTCATATCTGTCTTATCTTCATGTCTGTCTGTCTGTCACATCTGTCTTATCTTCTTGTCTGTCTGCAAGATCTGACTTATCATGCATGTCTACCTGCCATGTATGTCTTGTCTGTGTATGACATGTGTACATGTCTGTCCGTCATACATGCCATGTCTTTTAACTTTATCTGTCCGACTCCGCATGCCAGTTTTATCTGTATGTCTGTTTTGTTTCATATACACGACCATTTGTCTATTTTGTCGGGTTACAGATCCCTGTCTCTGTAACTTTTGATCTGTCTACATTTCGTCTACGTGCCTGCCTATGATGTCGATATCACAGTGTTTTGTCATGTTAATGTCTAATCTGTAAATCTCTTTAAAATCCTGTGTTAGTCATTGTCAAAGAAAACGTTATTCAGTGCAGCAAATAATTCTCTAAATGTTTTGGACGTATACATTTTACAAGTGAAACGCCCGAGACATAAAAATATTCCACTTTGACCTCTCATTTCAGACGTCTACAGCCAGAACCCAGACATCCCACCCTAATTACAACCAATGGAGGCAAAACTATACACACAGTCATATTTATATCACACATGTCCTATACTTTCCGGCTTCACGTATTGAGACAGATTATTACTGCACGATTTGCATAGCGTCTAGACGCCGACTGACCCACTTGACCAGCGCGACGTGTCCATCGCTGACCAGTGCTGGGCATTACCCAACTCAGAGGTCGGTTACCGCTACACGCAAAGGGGTGACTTAACGCTGTTGTCTACTTAATCAGGTGAGGCAATCATTTTATATCATACCCAGCTAGTCGACATTTTATTGTGAGCTTATTTCGTATATCTCTTCAGTATTGTACTACAAGCAACACCTGTAATATCATAACACAGAAGACCAACTTGTCTACATATCTGTGTGTCATATCTGTCTTGTCTTTACGTCTGTGTGTCACATCTGTCTTGTGTGCATGTCATACCTGTATTCTCTGCATGTCATACCTGTGTTGTCTGTGTGTCATACCTGTGTTGTCTGTGTGTCATATATGTCTAGTCTTTGTGCCTGTCTGTTTCTCTGTGCCATATCTGTCTTGTCTTTACGTCTGTGTGTCACATCTGTCTTGTATGCATGTCATACCTGTATTGTCTGCCTGTCATACCTGTGTTGTCTGTGTGTCATACTTGTGTTGTCTGTGTGTCATATATGTCGTCTTTGTGCCTGTGTGTTTCTCTGTGCCATATCTGTCTTGTCTTTACGTCTGTGTGTCACATCTGTCTTGTATGCATGTCATACCTGTATTGTCTGCCTGTCATACCTGTATTGTCTGCCTGTCATACTTGTGTTGTCTGTGTGTCATATATGTCTTGTCTTTGTGCCTGTCTGTTTCTCTGTGTCACATCTGTCTTGTGTGCATGTCATACCTGTATTGTCTGCCTGTCATACCTGTGTTGTCTGTGTGTCATACTTGTGTTGTCTGTGTGTCATATATGTCGTCTTTGTGCCTGTGTGTTTCTCTGTGCCATATCTGTCTTGTCTGCCTGTCCTGTCTACCTGTCTTACCTGTGTTGTCATTGTGTTGTCTGTTTGTCATATCCGTCTTGTTTGTATATCATATCTGCCTTGTCTGCATGTCATACCTGTATTGTCTGTTTGTCATATCCGTATGTTGTCTGTGTGTCATGTCTTTGTCTGTCATCTTTGTGCCTGTCTGTTTCTGTGTGTATCTGTCTTGTCTTTATCGTCTGTGTCATATCTGTCTGTCTTGTGTGCATGTCATACCTGTATTGTCTGTTTGTCATGTCATATCCGTCTTGTCTGTATGTCATATCTGTCTTGTCTGTGTGTCATATCTGTCGTCTTTGTCTGTCATATCCGTCTTGTCTGTATATCATATCTGTCTTGTCTGCCTGTCCTGTCTACCTGTCTTACCTGTGTTGTCATTGTGTTGTCTGTTTGTCATATCCGTCTTGTTTGTATATCATATCTGTCTTGTCTGCATGTCATATCTGTATTGTATTGTCTGTCTTGTCATATCATGTCTTGTGTCCTGTCATATCTGTCTTGTCTGTTTGTCATATCCGTCTCGTTTGTATATCATATCTGTCTTATCTGCATATCATATCATATCTCTGTCATATCTGTTGTTGTATATCATATCTGTCTTGTCTGTTTGTCATATACGTCTCGTTTGTATATCATATCTGCATATCATATCAGTATTGTCTGTCTGTCATATCCGTCTTGTTGGTATATCATATCTGTCTTGTCTGCATGTCATACCTGTATTGTCTGTCTGTCATATCCGTCTCGTTTGTATATCATATCTGTCTTGTCTGCATGTCATACCTGTATTGTCTGTTTGTCATATCCGTACTGTCTGCATGTCATATCTGTCTTGTCTGTGTCATATCAGTCTTGTCTGTGTGTCACATCCGTCACGTCTGCCAGTCATATCCGTCACGTCTGCATATCATATCTGTCTTGTCTGTGTGTCTGCATGTTATATCCGCCTTGCCCGTGAGTCTGCACGTCAGATATAACATGCAGACAAGACAGATATGACGCACAGATAAGACAGAGACAGAGAACTAGGACAATATATGTCTATTGTAGTTTAACCGATCTCTAAAGTTGATTTATGTCATGACTGTTGTTGCGAGGGCAATATGCAAGTTAGTGAGCGTTTTCTGAATGGTGCAATGGAACAATTTATTTCGATAACACATGCTGAATGCAGAGTGACGTGCTCAGCGTTTGGCATACAATGCATGTACATTAATTGAAAAGAAGTAGTTGGCTGTTGTTTAACACCGCACTCAATATTCAAAGTAAATGACTGTCAGGAAATAATCGAATCTGGAGCCGACAATCCACTGATTGATATAATAAGCACCGATCTACGCTGTTGGGTCAAGAAAGTGTTTGTACATGACATACATCTAAGTCCCAATTTCATATTGTTGCAATATTCACTTTTCACACAGGTTCGTCAATTTGCAAGTCATAAGAAATGGCTGGGGCTTCCTGCACTGACATAATGGCGGAACTATTTGCTACCGCCGATCGTTTGCAACACCTTCTCGGGCGACAGGAGCTTTTGCAGGCGGATCTACTCTATGGTGACAGGGGTAGTACATTCAGGGGACGTGGAAGTCCTCGCCCAGACGATGTTCAGACGTTGGTGAATCACATCTCCACAGTCCTCGTCCGTCTGACCGGAACGTACCGGCTCAACTATCGTCTGGTCGGATCACGTGACCGTCTCACGTCTGCTCCCCGTTCGTGTAAGAACCATAATATCATATCACCAGGATAGTGTCTGTTTCGTGTTGGGTTATTTGCTTGACAATAAGTTTATTATCAATTTTAATTACATATAATTTTAAGTTATGCGAACGTGATGAATTAAATATCTAATTCAGATCCGATTTCAGGACCCGTATGTAAGCATGCTATAAATATATGAATAAACAGTGCCATGGTTCATAAGCGTACGCGTCAGTGATAACAGTGACATTAGCGCTTTCCTGCAAGATAGAGAATATTGGCGCTAGCGAGTGAGTGAGTGAGTGAGTTGAGATTTACGCCGCGCTCAGCATATGGCGGCGGTCTGTAAATAATAATGTCTGGACCAGACAATCCAGTGATCAACAGCATGAGCATAGATCTACGCAATTGGGAACCGATTACATGTGTCAACCAAGTCAGTGAGCCTGACCACCCAATCCCGTTAGTCGCCTCTTACGACCAGCAGGGGTTACTGTTACAAGATCACGGGTCTGGTGCTGACTAGGCATTGCCGGCGAGTGCGGATACGCAAGATGAGCTGCGCACAAGTCTTCAAGCTTGCAATGTAAAAGTTTACATTAACAAGTGCTTGGTTGTGGAAATCAGCAAATCCATGTTGTGACTGGTATCTGTGTTCGTGGTTTCAGCTATTTACGACTATTTACAGGCCGCCGTTATAGGAAGCTAGAATAATTCTGAATGCGGCGTAAAACAACAAATAAAATTTAACACGGTGGTTTCAATTTAAATGTTGCAGAGTCACGATTTTACTTAATGTCATTAACATTGTTTCAGACATCCACCGCCGCTTTCCGGTCCAGGAGACTTTGGATGGATCACGTGGTACAATGAGGCTGGCTGTCATCTGATTGGCTGGGTGGATGACGTCATTATTCATATATATATATGCAAATTTGCGAAAACCAGGACAAAATGTATATGGGAAAAATGCAGCTGGGGAAAGGGTTAATGATGAGTTCATCCGTTTTGGCTGGCGAGAGAGATCGACATAAATAGAAGATATTATATGAGTGACCGTGTCACACTATGTTTAGGACACGAGTGCCTGAACGGTATTTCCCGAGTGGGAGCGAGTGTTGTGTCGTAAACATAGTATGATATAGGCACGAATATAATATTCTATTTATTACCGAAGTCGTTAAATTGAGGAAAATAAACCCTTATCTACTTTCAAACTTAGGCTGGCTACTCGCCGTCTCCGTATGTAGAACGCAACGTCATAGAAGAAACGTGACGTCATGGCATTGTTCATGACCTCACGTCACCATGACAAAGTGATATTTTGCCCTTGGGCATCGTATTAAAAATATGAACCCTGATATTTTCGCCCTCGTAGGTAATAACTATAAATCGAACATGAATGGCAAGTAATCACATGTGCCTTTAAGAGAAATATGTCAATATCAGGAAACACACACAGCATAAGATCATGTGCGTATATGAGAGGTTTTGTAAGGTATTTTCTTAATAAACTGTTAATTCTCTGGGAGATTCCGAGTATATGAGTCTATTACTCTTTTGAGTAGATGCTTGCAGGCATGTCATGAGGAAATGAGAGACGTTTTACGCTGCGGTGTGCCGTTTATTATACGATACTGTTATTTTTTTCGCCTGCCGCATACCGTCACGCTTAGTTAGTGCGTCATTTTGTTATCCATAGTTAATTTGTTTTTATCACATTTTCGTATTCATTTATAAGTAACAAACAGGGAAATATACAACTATACATGACCACAGAGTTTGTAAAAATGTGTTTCTCGTCTTTCTCAGATATTTCAAATTTTGTTTCTCTTTTTTTCTCGTCGTTAGTTTCATATCTATATTTCTCTCCCGTGTTTCTCATCCTTCTTTCCCAACGCTTACACCTTATTCAATCATTGGTTTCTCTCGGCTTTCCATCCTGATTTTTAACTTTACTTTTAGTTTCCCATCTTATAGTTTCTCATCCTTTCTTACTTGGTTCTCTTGGTGTAGTGGTTAGAGCGTCCGCCCGGAGAGCGGAAGGTCGCGGGTTCGATCCCCGACCGCGTCATACCAAAGGACGTTTAAATATGGTACTTGTTGATCCCTGCCTGGTGCTCGGCATTAATGGGTACAACAAGGACTGGTCGGCTCGGAGTCAGTATAATGTGTCTGAGTGGGGTATTCATGCTTCACTGCGGCATGGTATCTCAGTGGGCTAGCACTATAAAACCAGCTTCAGCCTGGGCTAGTACAAGCAGCCGCACATACACATACACACGCATGCACGTCGTCATATGAGCGAAATATTCTCAAGCACGACGATAGACCCAATTTCACCTCACCTCACCTTACTTGGTTCTCGCCTTTGATTATCACCTTCACATTCGTGTTTCTTGTTTTGGTTTCTCACCATTGTTTCTCGTTACAGTTTCTCGATTATACTTTTGTCTTAGTTTCGAGATATTTCATCTCATTCTTGTTTCAGACATTATATTTATATTTGTTTCTTATCTTTGTTTCCCTTTACTTATCTCATGATCCTTCTATCTCGCCTATGTTTCTAATTCTAGTGTCTTTCACCTTGTTTTCCACTGTTGTTTCTCACCTCTGTCTTCCTTGTTTTGTCACCTCTTGGAAATTCTCATCTCTGTTTCTCTACCTTGTTTCTCAGCTTTGTCTTCGTGCGTTTCCTAACGTGTGTTTCTCTTTACGTTTTATAAATTTGTTTCCAACAAGACACGGGCAAAACACCAGCTACTCCTACTCCAGAAACACGTGAGTGTGTTGATCCGTTATATCAGGTAGAATATGTTGTAGAGTATCCCTGGTTATATTGTAACTCTTGGAGTGTCAGCCTGGTTGATACTAATGACCATAAATACAAAGCAGCATTGTCCCCGTTTCCCGCAGAAACTTGAAACTGATGCGACTCCGTTGGTTAGTATCACTGTCTGGTAACGATACATTTTCGCAAGGGGTGACGGTATAGCTCATGTTGAAAGCGTTCGCTTGTCAGGCCGAAGGCCTGGGTTCCATTTCCCATATGGATTTAATGTGTGAAGCCTTGATTTTGTTAGATTGATAGAATATCGCTAAAAGGCCATAAATTATACTCACTCACTCACACACATTTTCGATTATCAGTGTCAACACCGACAATAACCTTTTCATCATATTTGTATTCAAAAGCACTGCGAACGTGTGAACCAACCACTAACAGATGTCAAGTACTTCCTCATAACAAACACAGAATGTTTTGACCCAATTACGTGTGCAGACAACCTATTTAATCTGTCTACAATACATACCACGCAAGATATATGTCAGAGCTTTTGTTTACAAGTCTAGACTGAGTTCCAGACAGTTTACAGACGGTTGTGTTGTGGGTGGGGTTGGACCCTCGTGCGTCACCCATCAACAGACACCATGGGGATTCCCCGACCCCCACTCAGAAATACAAGGCAGAACCCGGGGATGGCGCACATACATAACCGCGCTGTAAAATCGAATGAAGTGACTGGGAAATGAGTGACTGAGTGTATTTTTACGCCGCACTCTTCCAGCTATATGACGGCGATCTGTAAATAATCGACTCTGGACCAGACAATCCAGTGATCAACAGCATGAGCATCGATCTACACAACTGGGAACCGATGACATGTGTCAACCAAGTCAGCGAGCCTGACCACCCGATCCCGTTAGTCGCCTCTTACGACAAGCATGTGTTACTGAAGATCAATTCTAACCCGGACCTTCACGGGTTGAGACAAGCATGGGTTACTGAAGACCAATTCTAACCCGGACCTTCACGGGTAGCCTCCTACAAGCATGGGTTACTGAAGACCAATTCTCACCCGGACCTTCACGGGTGTATTATGACAAATACACAGACATATTACTTTGTCGTTTAATGAAAACTGATGCGAAAATTAGTTGATGGAAAGGGAAAAAAACGACTTTGATATTCTTATGAGTTTTTAAAAAATGTTATTAATCAAAATGTAAATTTAATGTAATGTTGTGAAAACAACAGATACAATAAGTTATTCTATGTGTGGGCCACAATACCCTTGAATCCTAATTGTTTATGTAATCTGAAACATCCTCAAATTTCACCCCACAATCACAGGCCCTCGTGTCTTTGAGAGGATTAAAGATTTTAAGAAAAATATAAAATTTTGAGATGACCCCCGACTCGAAATGCTTCACAGTGTAATACATTATTATACTGTGAAGCATTTCGAGTCGGGGTCATCTAAAAAATTGTATATATTTCTTAAAATCTTCAATCCTCGCAAAGACACGAGGGCCTGTGGTGTAAATGTTATTTGTGGTAAATGTTCTCTAACTCGCGCACTCACACACACGTCCCATGCACGTCTGATGCCTTCTGAAAAAAAATGTTTAAGGTAGCTGCCAAAATTATACATTCACTATCATGATATTGATATATTTTCAGTAATATTTTCATATTAGCGACAGTTTGGGTTAATGGGTAAAGCAGTGGTTCGGAGGTAGTTCTTGACCTCCCTTACTGATGTATTGTTAGAAGCATAGCAACAACTTTAATATGCATTACACATCAGTGCCACATTGTACACCATGCTGTGGGTATGTGTTCCTAATATCGACCACTGGTTTACCTGATCCAGGCTCGATAATGGCCGAAACCACATACCTGTGTATTCTCTACGATTATGTACCGGCTTGGCATAGCTGGGCTATAACTGATTATAGATGCTGCACAGGTTCCACCCAATGCTCCGTATCAACATGTTGGTGTTTATAGTGTGTATTACATCTATTCAGCTATCGGCGACAGGCTGACAAAAGGGCTGACATTATATCTCTCAGGGTTCATATTATTATTATGTTTTCATGGACACCAGTAAGTGAGTTTAGTTTTACGCCGCTTTTAGCAATATTCCGGCAATATCACGGCGGGGTACTCCAGAAATGGGCTTCACACACTGTACCCATGTGGGGAATCGAACCCGGGTCTTCAGCGTGAAGAGTGAACGCCTTCTCCACTAGGCTACCCCACCGCCCCTCTTGGACTGTAAGTCGTCTTAACTGGTTCCATGAACACCGACCATGAACTCGGATATATTACCGCTTCGGTGTCGCATTCAAGTCTGCATTCCATTAAATCGCTTGCAACATCCCCACAAGTTTACGATGTGTAAACACATTTTGCCGTGCCCTCCGAGGTCAGTTGGCTATTATACCACAGGCAGTAAAACCTTCCAGGGAAAACCCTGACTTTAATCTATATATAGAATGGTGGCAATTCCCCACTTCGGCTTTCAGTGCTACTGCACCAGCTGTAGCAGGAAGATGAATGCGTTATATACTGTGTGACGTTTGACCCTCAGATACGTCAGCGTCACCTGGAAGAAAAATATTCCATGGTTTTTGTATGACAGTTCACATGCATGTGTACCACGTGTCATGGACCCGTAAAGATCCGGGTTAGAATTGTTCTTCAGTAACCTATGCGTCCTCGTCGTAAGAGGCGACTAACGGGATCGAGTGGTCAGGCTCGCTGACTTGATTGACACATGTCATCGAATTCCGATTGCGTAGATCGATGCTCATGCTGTTGATGACTGGGTTGTCTGGTCCAGACTCGATTATTTACAGACCGCCGCCATATAGCTGGAATATTGCTGAGTGTGACGTTAAGCAACAAACCAACCAACTACACGTAATGAGGTTCAGTAAAAGGCGTCGCAATTCGTCTAGCAGAGTTACCTCCCTTATGCCACGGGTCCTCTAATGGCTGGTTCGAATCCTCGAGTCTACCAAGTTAATTCCTTGATCTATCATCGCCATATCGAGCCCTGTGCTGGTCGTGAGATTATGATCGGATGATCAGGTTTGATGACTTGTTTGAGGGGCGGTGGGGTAGCCAAATGGTTAAAACATCCGTTCGTTGCGCTGAAGACCTGGGTTCGATTCCCCACATGGGTACAATGTGAGAAGCCCATTTCTGGTGTTCTCCGACGCTGAATATTGCTAAAAGCGGCGTAAAACTATATTTACTCACTCATTCACTTTTTTGATTGTGCGGCACTCTAGGTGGAGTCTACTAATGCCTTCAGGGAATAACGCCTACAGTCTTAAATAAACAATTTTTAAATAAACTGCAATACTGTAGAGTGCTTCGGTAAACAAAACAACACAAACAAAAATAAGCAAAGTTTTAAAAAATTACTTTGAAATTATTTTGGGAAACTATTAAATTTAAAAAACCACCACAAGTGTACATATCCCTTGCTTTATTATGACGACAGAGCGGTGACCAGGAGAGTGTACCCTTCCCCGTGGGTTATGCTAGGTGATTATGTAAACATGTGCAAGTGATTGCGTCATCTCACTGCGTGCGATGTAAAAAGGATTTGAAAAATAAAGTTCGCCTTAAGATACTTGAAAAGCTAACTGATCTAATCTTTTGATGTTTTTGTACAAATTAGAGACCCTTATGAACTCATGCTATTACAAACCTCTGTAATCCGGACACCACCGGGTAGGTGGGTAGATAGTGAAGTCAAATTAGTTTCCCATTGTTTATAATTTGATAATTTGTCGGGGAATTTCACGTGGAATGCTATTTTTCGGATTAACTGTGAAGAAATGTACTTTAGTAAAACGCAGAGTATTTCTGACTTCCGTACCTTGTTAGAGTCAGTTATGCAATACGTGTGTGCATATATGTTTGATGTGTGTGTGTGTGTGTGTATATGTTTGTTTGTTCGTTTGTGTTTGTTTGTGTGTGTGTGTGTGTGTGTGAGAGAGATTTACTTCTGTCTGAGAGTTGAATTATATCATATCAATTCATAATATCTATCTTGGATAAATTGTAAGTGGTATTCATGAAGGACATCCTTAAGTTTATCAGAATTTACAATAGATTCGGTGTCCCTACTTTCACTTTCACTTTCACACACCAGCATATAACGCAATAAGGCGTCGTGGTATATATGTAATATGAACTTATATAGGCATTAATGTGAGTACAAGGATACTCATTTGTGGTTGTGGAGAGACTATCATTCCCAGAAGACTAGACTCCATCCATAAATGTTCAGTTAGAAAACATTATAATGAGAGTGTTGTTGTTTTTTAAATGAATATATATTTTAAAAATAAATGTGTAGAGTAGATTTGAACCACCGATTAAATTCTAAAATGTCCGGTACAAAATGTTTGTAATACCAATATGTATTAGTTTGAATGCGTTTGACTGGAAAATAAGTGAAATAAACTAACGGGCAAAAGAAACGATACCAAGTCGAAATCACTGTTATTACAAAACGACAGATCACCATTGTGAAAGAGGAAATTCACATGCATACACTTGTTATTAAAATTCACTTTCTTTTTTTAACAATGGTGGTTTGTCGTTTTGTAATTCAGTGTTTTCGACTTGGTATCGTTTCTTTTGCCCGTTTGTTTAGAAAGAATGAAAACTCAGAAAGATATGTAAATTTTTATAACGGTAATACATCTTTCTTCAGGAATGTATGAAGGAGTAGTATAGAAGTCACAACATGTTTGTATTTACAAACAAATGACTCTCTGCAACAGATAATACAGTCATATATTGACATGCAATGCATAGTTATGAATCTGTACACTGTACACAATGGAATGACTTCTTACTTAACGAGCAAAAGACACATAATAAGAATAAAAACGCTCATAATTGTTTATCTCTAAAGAATGAATGGCGTGGTGATGAGTGATGACATGGCACGTGATCAATATTTCCAACCAACATTCACTTTAATAAGGTGAGTGAGTGTGTTAAGTTTTACGCCACACTCACTAATATTCCAGCTATATGGCGGCGGTCTGTAAATAATCGAGTTTGGACCAGCCACAAATGTCCTCTCCCTGAAGTCAACCTATCTGTGTGACAGTCAATATGAGACGTCATATTCAGTGGCGGTCAGGCCACTGTCATCTCGCGATTATACAGACCTGTAATCTAACTCTCTACTGAAACCCCAATATCTTCTTGTTAACTATATATACTGAGAGAAACAAATAAAGGATCACAGGAAAATTCAAGCGTTCCTTTAATATTTTCCAGTTTTCATCACCAGCTTTGTGGTGATGAAAACTGGAAAATATTAAAGGAACGCTGGAATGTTCCTGTGACCCTTTATTTGTTTCTATCAGTATATATCACCAATGCACTTTAAACAAAATTCCCATTTTCTACATATACTCGAATGTTCAAATATTCTGGATAACGATCTGGACTTTCCCGATTTCATTCAGCAGTTATGTTCTTTTACATAAAACGTCTCTCATTGCATAGTATTCAGAAACAAACAACAAATAGTTAAGCTCAGCAGAACGCGTATGTACAGAGGAAACAATATATACATATATGTTGATGTCGGAATAGCTCTGTTGAGTTTCCGCTCGTTCCGACAGTTGATTAATAGGATATAAACTAGTGCTCAAAAGAAACTATACACCGCAAAATATTATGGCTGAGTATGGTTTTATCACTTCCTTTTAATTTTGTGAATTTTTATGCAATGTTTTGCGGTGTATAGTTTCTTTTGAACACTAGTTTAGATATGCTTTTCTTTTCTTTTCAAGTTTGGTCAAACACACTGCATACTTTGTTTTGAGCACTAGTTTAGTGTCAGTACTTCATCATGTCCCAGTCGGGACATACGATCCTCAATGGAAATAAGCAATACTTCCCTGGAACATATTTCACATGCCCCAAACAATGCAGTATTTCCATCCTGAATCTGTGCTATTAAATATAAACACTGCATGGCACTTACATTTAAAGGCCATGTAAACACAAAGCAATTTTTACTCATTTTATCAATTTCATACAAATGAAAATTGCATATGTACATTTTAAACGTGCAAGGAGATATGAGCAAATATCCGGGCGTTTGAAGGGCCACCCGAGTCCGTGTTCAATATATACATAGGGAGAACACGGAACTAATACAGTCCAACGGGTGGGTTATAATGGGTTTATTGCACCAGTCAAGGAGCATGATTGTTTCTGTGAACAAATCCCATCGGCTATAATGTGACGGCAAGCATGGTCCTGCTGAGGCTCCATGTGTCAACTGAGGGTCCATGTGTCAACTGAGGGTCCATGTGTCAACTGAGGGTCCATGTGTCAACTGAGGCTCCATGTGTCAACTGAGGGTCCATGTGTCAACTGAGGGTCCATGTGTCAACTGAGGCTCCATGTGTCAACTGAGGCTCCATGTGTCAACTAAGGCTCCATGTGTCAACTGAGTCTCCATATGTCAACAACCTACTGTGAACACACTTTCCCATCCATACAAAACTTCAGTCTACTTTCACTTTGATTTGAGGTTCCGTACAGTCCCAGGTTGTACAGACTGGTCGGTTGCCCTATATCATGAGTATGAAGCATTAACTAATGTATGTGTCCCTGTAAGGAGACAGGCCGGTGGGTTTGGGGATGCTTTAAGGTAACAACCATTTAATATTTTCAGATATTGGTTGGAGAGAGACAGACATTCGCAACATTTCCAGACACCTAAACTGTGTTCTCTAAAACACGAGTGTAAAGTAATTGTGTTTAACTTATCTGGTGAACAATCTTACTTTTCGTAAAACATGAGTGAGTGAGTGAGTTGTTTTTTAAGCGCTGTTAGCAATATTCCAGCAATATCACGGCGGGAGACACCAGAAATGGGCTTCACACATTGTACGCATGTGGGGAATCGAACCCGGGTCTTCTGAGTCACAGACGGACGCCTTAACCACTAAGCTACCTACGCCCCTTCGTAAAACATTTTCGTTCGAAAATTTACTTCACCCAACATCACCACTTTACTTCGTCCTTGGGTGGTGGGGCAGTTCCTCCTGGGGTGATGGGGCAGTTCCTCCTGGGGTGATGGGGCAGTTCCCCCTCGGGTGGTGGGGCAGTTCCTCCTGGGGTGGCGGGGTATCCCAGGAGGAAGTAAAAACCTCACTCTGAAGACCCGGGTTCGATTCCCCACATGGTTACATTGTGTGAAGCCCATTTCTGGTGTCCCCCGACGTGATATTGCTAGAATATTGCTAAAAGTGGCGTAAAACTAAATTCACCCAGTCACTCCGTTTCCTCCTAGAATATTAAATGACCCGAAGTATACCTGCCTATTCACCAAATCCACCCGCCAATCTACCTAATGATACAGTGATTGTAGATGATGCTCAATTCATGGTTGTATACAAATGTCCCAATGTCATAATGACAGTACATGAGGACCTCAACAACATTTGTTGAGATGAAATATAGCTGCAAGAGTTCATACGTGGGCTGGTAACGTCTACTGTCCAAGGCTTGTGACGAGCGGCTACACGTGGGTCACTTCCGTGACGCTGGGTACAGTAGCCGAGGTTTCCTCTGGGCCGACCTCCTTGCCGTTGCCCTCGCTGTGTTCTACGGCTGAGTTCTTCTGTGGAGAGGGGAAGATGTCAGATTAGAACCTCAAGATTTGATCTTTCATACGTCACTTCCTCTTTTTTCTGTTAATCATCATATGTATTATATAATATAATATTACTCTTTTTTTTCGTTGTTTTATAATGCAATATATCTTTGTTGTTGATTTTTGCTTAGGGTGTTTATTTAATTCAATTTATTTCATTTTATTTATCTCATTTTATTTCTTTCATTATTTCTTCCTTTCTTTCTTTCTTTCTTTATTTAGTTGTTTTGGGGGGTTGTGGCTGGCGTCGGGGGAGGCGTTAGAAAAGTACAATTATCCAAGAAACATCGTAGCAATAGTGATTTGAAACGGAAATTATATATATCGTCTACCTACCTTGTTGCAAGGTGTTATTTTTAAATAGGTATTCAGACTCATGGTTTCAATTAAAGTGATATCTAGAAGTGCAACTATCGCTGGTCAAGTAGGCAGTGGTCATACCCCATCTGAATGTGGTTACATACATCATCAGCAGCACAGCTGGGGTGCCACCCGATATCCCATAGTGTTGCAATGTAATGGAGATTGTATGGTCACAATGGTGCCTCACGGATGCCGAGTTATAGCAGCCAATATGTCTAGTTTAAACTTAGTTATTTATAAACCTCTGTGTTAAATCTAACGCTATGTTTACTTCACTCAACCCAGGCTAAACTGATCTCGGTAGACCGCCGTCATGTTGTTGTTTGTTTGTTTTTAACGCAACGCTATTCCTGCTATACAACGGGTCACACAACAAGGTAATTTATAGTAGTCATTTCTCTACGTAACCTGGATACGTTGGCCTGTATAAACAAGCCCGCGAGCCTGTCTTCCCGAATCCAATAGTCTATTCCAACGACAAGGCGACAATAAAATCGCTATAAATTCATGATGTCTCCAAGGTTGTCCGATTTACACCGGCCAATGTGGAACCACCATGTTAACCCAACATTAAGAGTAGTACGCAATGCATAGACCAGTCAGATTCAGCGTTTTATATTCCCGGATTATTGCGATACCCCTTGAAGAAGCTATAAATTACAGGAATATTCGGAACACTAAGGCTAAGCTGAACGTTCCAGGTTTGCAAGTAATATAACACCGAGGTCTCTATCAAAGGATTAATCTTAACATTTCAGTCTTATTAGAAGCTACAAGGATACGTTAAACTTTCCTGCCCTATTAAAACACCAAGAAAAGGTTTAACAGTCCAGAAATATTAGTAACACCAGAAATAACCGTAGCCTTCCATGAATATATCACAACAAAACTGAGGTTCATGTAACATGTGTTATATTTGGGATTACACTTTCTTAGTAAAGTACAAATTCTAGTACTTTTTTGAGTTGATTAGGTGCCTGACTCTGAGGGTGTGAGTTCGAATCCCGGATGGTGCTCAACTAAAAAAAGTACTAGAATTTGTACTTTACTAAGAAAGTGTCATCCCAAATATAACATATGTTACATATGACCACTTTCTAAATGGCATTGTGTAATCAAGACTGAGGTTCAGGCTGTAGAGGACAGCCCTTATATGGTTGAACATGACGTATTTACTGTTATAAACAACAGGATGTGTCTGGCTGGTAGCTGGTCCTCTGTTGTAACCCAGTTCGATTTCCCACATGGGTACAATGTGTGAAGCCCATTTCTGGTGTCCCCGGTCGTGATATCGCTGGAATATTGTTAACAGCGGCGTAAAACTATATTTACTCACTCACTTGTTTGATTGTGCGTCACTCTACTCTGAAGGTGTGGATCTTTGCCAATTACCCAACTATAAGGTTTGTATATACAGACCCACGTCATATAACTGCAATACTGTAGAGTGCTTCGGTAAACAAAACCAAACCCCAAAAATATGCAAAGTTTAACAAATTGTTTTGAAATTATTTTGGGAAACTATTGTATCCCAAACCACTATAGGTATACACATCACTTTCTTCATTATGACGAAAGAGCAGTGACTAGGAGACGGTACCCTTCACTGGGGGATATTCATTCCTCTGTTGTAAGGGGCCTACCTCAGTGTTTGTGGTCTCCTGGGATTCCTGTATGGGTGTAGCGCAGACTGAAACAGACAGTAGACAGTTTATTCCTTTATCAAACCCAGGATGCGGGAATTATATGGGTAGAACATAGGCGGATCCAGTGTGTGTGTGTGTGTGTGTGTGTGTGTGTGTGTGTGTGTGTGTGTGTGTGTGTGTGTGTGTGTGTGTGTGTGTGTGTGTGTGTGTGTCTGTCTGTGTGTGTGTGTGTGTCTGTGTGTGTGTGTGTGTGTGTGTGTGTGTGTGTGTGTGTGTGTGTGTGTGTGTGTGTGTGTGTGTGTGTGTGTGTGTGTGTGTGTGTGTGTGTGTGTGTGTGTGTGTGTGTGTGTGTGTGTGTGTGTGTGTGTGTGTGCACCCCACCTTTTGTCCTGAAAGTTTATTAAATGACCATTCAACCTCTGGTGAAAATGAAGCGTGCACCCTCCCTTTTCTCAATAGTGTGCACCCCCCCTTTCTCAAAAAGCTGTATCCGTGCCTGTAGAAATACATCAGCCAGGAAATTGTGTGATGGGAGATTGCAGCTGCTGAAGCTAGCTATGTTCAGACTAGTACGACTATACTTAGTTAATGAAACGAACATGAAACATCCTGTATGTGTATAGATATTTTTTCACGGTTGCTGTTTTACACGATGAAAACATTCCCACTCAGAAACCCACAGACATTGGTAGTTTCTCTGCTGTAACTAGACAAGCAACAGTCGCAAAACTTCCCAACTTTATTGTCCTAGATCAAAGACAGTCGTGACTTCCTAATTTAATATTGATTTTTGGGAGTTGTACTTCCCTTTTTTAACACAGTGTTAAGACATTCGTGACTTCCCTAATTTAACATGGATTTTAGCAGTTGTAGCTTCCCAACATAGCATAGTTGCTTCAATACAGATTTTGGACAGCCATGACATCTCTACCTTAAAACCAGTCCTGCAATTGTTACGACCTTACTTTCACATAAAGGTCCCGGTTAGAATGAGCCTTCAGTAACCCATGCTTGTAAAAGGCGACTAACGGGATCGGGTGGTCAGGCTTGCTGGCTTGGTTGACACATGTCATCGGTTCCCAAGTGCGCAGATCGATGCTCATGCTGTTGATCACTGGATTGTCTGGTCCAGACTCGATTATTTACAGACCGCCGCCATATAGCTGGAATATTGCTGAGTGCGGCGTAAAACTAAGCTCAGTCACTCATTTTCACATAAACGAGCGACGGTCCCTCATTTAACGTCAACACTTGAATGAAAATATACTAGTACAGTTGTATATTATCAGTTTAAACTTTGTTGCTAACAAGTACAATGTATGTAAATACATGCATTGTTCTATATTTGTACAGTGTTAGACATTTATTAGCATTAAACAATGAAACCGAAACTGTTCCTATCAAACGGCAGCGTATGAAGGGTAAGGTCAGTGGGTAACAGAGTGGAGGGAGTAGTTCTGTATAGTCAGTATCAGAGTTCATTAACACCAGAAACACCACGGTTTGTAGTGTTATGCTGTTAGATAGTTTAGCCGATTTGACTTGAACTACGAGGGGGCGATGGGGTAGCCTAGTGGTTAAAGCACTCAAAACCAAAAACCAGGGCCTCGTTCCACAAAACGACCGTAGCGCTAAGATGATCGTAACTCCCATACTTAACATAGACTTACGACTGTCGTAGCGCTACGATCGCTTCGAGGAACGGGGCCGAGGACCCCGTTTCACATGCTATCGTAGTGCTACGACTGTCGTAAGTCTATGTTACAGTATAGGAGGTACGACAGTTGTAGCGCTACGGTAGCTTTGTGAAACGGGGCCCGAGTTCCATTCCCACAAGGTTACAATGTGTAAAGCCAATTTCTGATTTCCCCCGCCGTGATACTGCTGGAATACTGCTAAAAACAGCGTAAAACATAAAGAAACTGAAACATGAGACGCATATATAGACAGATCATATATACAGGGCCCTTATTCTCGAAATGTTCGTAGCCCTAAGAATTCTTAACTTTGATCGTAGCCAATGTGTTAAGAGTGGTCTTAAGAAGTTCGTAAGGCTACGAATGTTTCGAGAATAGCTAGCCAGATTCATAACTTTTGATAAAATTAAATCAGCAAAAATAGTTTGAAAACTTGGAAATAGAAAAACCCACGGAACTCCTTTAAGGGCACTCTAAAGGAATTGTGAAGGCCTGTGCAAAACCCACAAGGTTACAATGTGTAAAGCCAATTTCTGATTTCCCCCGCCGTGATACTGCTGGAATACTGCTAAAAACAGCGTAAAACATAAAGAAACTGAAACATGAGACGCATATATAGACAGATCATATATACAGGGCCCTTATTCTCGAAATGTTCGTAGCCCTAAGAATTCTTAACTTTGATCGTAGCCAATGTGTTAAGAGTGGTCTTAAGAAGTTCGTAAGGCTACGAATGTTTCGAGAATAGCTAGCCAGATTCATAACTTTTGATAAAATTAAATCAGCAAAAATAGTTTGAAAACTTGGAAATAGAAAAACCCACGGAACTCCTTTAAGGGCACTCTAAAGGAATTGTGAAGGCCTGTGCAAAACCATCGGCAGTTCCAGTCAAAGGAAGGTTGTCTGACCATAAAAGTAGGAGGACAACATCGTTACGGTATTGCAACCAGATTTACTCTAACTATGCTACTGAGTGGTAGCACCCATTTTTCAGACACCCCCATTTTCAGACACCCCATTTTTCAGATAATCTCAATACACAGTAAGGAATGGTTCAGTCATGTTACAATACTCGTTAGTTTCTTTCTGTTCTGACCCGTGAAGATCCGGGTTAAAATGGGTTACTCAGTATAAGAAACCCATGCTTGTCGTAAGAGGGGACTAACGGTGGCCAGGCTCGCTGGCTTGGTTGACACGTGTCATCGTATCCCAGTTGCGTAGATCGATGCTCATACTGTTGATCACCGGATTGTCTGTTCCAGGCTCGATTATTTACAGACTGCTGCCATATAGCCGGAATATTGCTGACTCTTTTTGTTCTGGACACCCAGGCCTAATATTAAGGCAATTATCATACTGTACCTTCGGTCGCTGCAGGATCATCGTTGAATATGCCACTGCCGAAGCCGCTGTCCTCACGGAAGGAACGCCGAGTCACTGCACAACGGAAGTTGTACAATTTAAATGAAAATACCGATTGGAATGTAAATACAGTTTCATAAAAATGGAAACTTATTAAATAGAACCCTTAAAGGCTACCAGGAAGGTAATTACAATATCAGCGGTACCATACCGGAAACCATAGAGGTCCCGTTTTGTCTGCTCCATTATCCAATTCGAATGGGTTCTTTGAGCTGATATTAATTCTTGGGATCTCCTCTATTTATTCAGTCATAAATGTCCCTACTAACAGGAAACTATGCTTTTGTGAGAGAGTGAAATATGGTTTTACACTGATCGTTGCAATGTTCCAGCAATATCAGGGCGGGGGATACCAGAAATCAGCTTCTCACATCGTGCCCATGTGGGGAATCGAACCCGGGTCTTCGACGTGACGAGCAAACGCATCTTAACCACAAGGCTACCCCACCGCACCCTTTGGTTTTGGAGAAAAGGCCGACAGAGTTACTGGCCCAATTGAGCCAATACAAAAACCATTGGGTGATCAGGCTCGCTGACTTGGTTGGCACAAGTCATCGTATCCCAATTGCGCAGATCGATGCTCATGCTGTTGATCACGAATTATCTGGTCCAGACTCGATTATTTACCGCCGCCATTAAGCTGGGATATTGCTGAGTGTGGCATTAAACCAAACCAAACCAATACATTGTCACTCACCGTGTTGCCTTCGCTGTGGAAATAGGTAGAAATATTTTCTATACTGCGCCACAACGTTCTTCAAAGTCAAACCGATCTTGTCCGAGACGAGTTCAACCTTTTCGGGGGTCACCTCCGGCGGTTCAGATCCAGATGGGGTTATTTCCAGAGCCGTTACACTCGTGTCTAAGGTTAACAGCATCTTACGCATCTGAACTTCCATATTCAACAATTCTTGCAGAATTTGATCTGTGTTCACAGTAGCCATGATGACGAGTTAAGGAAAATAACAGTGGACCTGCCGGGCTCTCTATTCTCTTTCGTCAGTCCACACTGAGACAGAGACTGAAAAATAATTATTTCTGTATAAATTCAATGCGATGTTCCTGCAAATGCTGAGAAAATCCCTCATTACTGTCTCCGAGTGTAAGGCAGGTTATGTTTATTGCCACTCTTTATTGGCCACAGTAACATATGTAAGCATGATTTTGAAATAAACTACGTAAAATATCAATTGTTTCAATCACGCATGACCATATTAGGTTGGTTCGGTGGATAAATACAGGGCGTAGCAAAACTCGTGTGTTGTGCTATCACCGTTATCGTTGTTGTTAAACTGTGAACGAAAACTGGTTCCGCATGTGGTTTATCTCATGCTACCATGGGTATCGTTGCTACCAAACTGTATACGAAAGTTTTCTTATTTCGTGACCCAAACCAGGTCGGACTTGTTTGATAAATGTAGTCAGTTATCGCTAATTACAGGTGTTAGGCGTCGACAGATAGGGGGTATAGCTCCGTTAAAAACACAGGGTGGTTTAGCAGTTTCCAAAGAGGAAATTGATAATGTAGATTAACTGGTAAGTCGGTAAACCTTTGTCATGTGTTTGGGGTCGGTGGAATAGTCTCGTGGGTGGGGATGTTGTTAGACTAGTTCGACGGATGGAGTCTCGTGGATGGGGTGATGGAGTCACTAGTGTGTTTATCAGGGGCCAATGCTTAAGGTGACATAATATTAAGTCATTTAATTAACAATTTACTAGAATAGAATTTAATGAAACCTAGAAGCGACATCGTGGCGTTGTGTCAAAATTAGTCGAATCGCGACAATGAGACAACGTAAAAATCACCATTTCTAGAAGGTCGCGTTGTCGAGCTTTGTAATTATCTTTCATTTACTGAAACGCAATTACGAGAAACATGTGGTCGCATTGTTGTAGCTGACACTTTTTGCTTGTTTTTGCAAGGGCGACAAATTCCATAGGCCATAAACTAATCACGATAAACACAAACAAAGCCATTTTCAGCACATAATATACTATACCTTTGATACAGTGCCCGACCCTGACCACGTTTGTTATGTTTCATGAAATAATGATAAATACTTCCGGCAATACATTCCATAGTGTGATCGACATGTTGTACTCTCGCGGATTTCCCACTACAAAACAAGACTCCAGTATTGAACAGCATTCGTAACTACTCGCCTCTTTCCGTGACCTACAAGAAGACTCGTACCCCTATCGTACGCCATTATTGCCAAGAATCGTGGCAAACCAATCAAATCGCGCGTAGTAAAACGCATTTCGAAGCATGAAAATGGCGGCACCGTTGAAGTTTGAAACTTCGCTGAACTATGCAAAGCACAATTTAAGCATAAACTTTGAGCTTAAAGATCAGCAACTTTAAATCCTGAAACATATTTACAAAGGGAATGACTGTATTGCTGTTTTGCCCACGGGATGACGGATATTCTGGGAGCCATGTTTGGAAATTCAGAGTTATCTTTCCTTGGTAATAGTACTAGACTATTTTCATCTCCCTGCCCGTTTGCGCTTAGACAGGGCCCAGTTGTAAACATGGCCACAAGATGGGTTCGAGACGCCATCCGGCTTGTCGGAATGACACGAGTAGTTACGAATGGTTGACCCATGTCATTGCATCCCAATTGCGTAGATCGATGTTCATGCTGTTGATCACTGGCTTGTCTGGTCCAGACCGCCGCCATATAGCTAGAATATTGCTGAGTGTGGCGTAAAACTAAACTCACTCACTCAAAACAAATGGTGAATTCCTGGCCCAGAGTCAAGTGCATAAGCCGCTCTTCTACCCAGGTTCAGGGGGTTCGAACCAACCCTTTGAAAACTCTTAGAAGTAAATCTATATAACTATGCAAAGCAATGTGAAAAGCACACCGACAAGGTAACATTAATCAAGTCTCTTCTGATCTATGAATACCCGCGTTGTGGACAAAACAAATCTGGTCACGTGATATGCAAATTAGCACCAGAGCGTGAACAATAGCGTTATATTATCTGATTGGTTCCTGTTATATATAGTTTCGGGTTTGTAACAAAAATAACTGGAGATCTGTTATCATTGTGTATGGACCGATATCGCCCAATGAGAGGCGTCGTCCCGTTATGTGACGAGCAGGTAACAGGAAGCACCATGCGAGTTCTGATTACACTATGGAATGCGAGATACACGTGATATCGAGAAATGGCGTTCACACAAACAATGTGGACATGATGGTGTCAGCCATCATGGCCTAAAGTTATTTAACTAGGCAGGTAAAGTTCATTAGGCTATGTGGGCATTCATGCCTCACTGGTTTTATGGGAGTAGGGTGGATTATTGCTGGACTGGTCCATTTTTGACCACAGGAGGGGTGAATCATAAGAATCAATAAAGCTCAAATATTCATATTGAGATATTTATTTTTCTAGCAGTATTACACTAGTGTAATATTGCCGTAAAAATATTACACTGCAGTATCTCCCACGGCGAGTAACGAATCATGATATCACACTGTCATGACAGATCAGATTAAAGTCGACCGAGGTTGTGACGATTGGCTTCATCCTGGATCAGCTGGAAGGTCGTAGTGTATGTGGCTTCAGTCTTGTTTCGCACAACAGTAAACTGGAGGGTGCATCAGTCGCTGATATCAGCGTGGAGAGTGCAGATCTGTAGGAAGAGTGAGGTTTTTGACGCCGCCCTCAGCAATATTCCAGCTATACGGCGGCGGTCTGTAAATAATCGAGTCTGGACCAGACAATCCAGTGATCAACAACATAAGCATCAATCTACGCAGTTGGGAACCAATGACATATGTCAAACCAGTCAGCGAGCCTGACCACCCGATCCTATTAGTGACCTCTTATGACAAGCACGGGTTGCTGAAAATCACTTCTAACCGGACTTTCACGGGTATCTGTTGGAAGTGTTTCGGGGATGTATAGAACGTTCCATCACCATGTATGACATCGGCTTCGCAAAGATGAGAATTCAGTCCTCGGCCCCATGATCTGTCATCAGGAAGTCTTCTCCTGCATATGTAGTTTCCACTCTCCATCCAGCTGGATAGCATGTCTTAAGTAACGAAGGACGAATTATACATGTAGGGTGCTTTCATGGTTGTGTCCCGATCCAATCTTCTGTAGGCGATCATCTTGTGTGTGGATAGATCCTTTACAGTGCTGCCCTGTACATGTCCAGTAGCAAATGTCATCTACTTGATGGTTGACTTTAAACATATGTCCTGCATAGTATGCAAGTCACGAGCCATAGTGATATAGATATAGACATAGCTACAAACATACACACTTATAGCAAGTTTCTTCCTTCTCATGTTATTTGGAGAAGGAAACAGAATTATACACCCTTCTTTTAAATACTCCTCCACCAATAAAAGATCTAATCTTATTAAGATTAACAGTAAGTGCTTGAATCTACCCAACGTTGATGTTTTCACAGTAGACAACTCTCATTCCCAGTGACCCCCGTCCACTGATCAGTGGACTCTCCCACTCTTGTTTCATGATGTCGAGGTAAATACAAAGTCATAGCCTTTCTACATAACATACTGTCTGACTCAACAACAGTGTAAACGAGTAAGTAAATGCAATACATAACATAAATGCAATACATAACATAATGTCGGCTTCAACAAAAGTGTTAATGTGTATGTAATGTAATGCATAACACAATGTCGATAATGTAATGTCGACACAGACCTGAACAGTGGTGAATGGTGCACCTTTGACAGAAACTACTTCCCTACACGACAATGAAAGCTGTAATAGTACATGCAACTAAGAGTGGAAAATCCGAAATTATGAACAAAATGCCAGTACACATAATACAGGTAGTTGGAAAGTTGTCTGACAAGAGAGCCCTGATGTTGATTTCCAAGATAAGATCAGAAGCTGCATTATGAGTGAGTGAGTATATATGGTTTTAAGCCGCTTTTAGCAATATACCAGCTACATCACGGCAAGGGACATTTTACCCATGTGGGGAATCGAACCCGGGTCTTCGGCGTGACGCTTTAACCACTAGAAGCTAACACACCACTCTCATTACAAGTGAAGGTTGACACCCGTCACTGTAATAGGCGTGGTGAGGTAGCCAAGACACCCGTTATTTTTTAAGTCTCAGTAGAGCAGTCTGTTACTTCATCATGCACATGCCGAAACGTCACATAATTCATTCAAAACAAAACAAGCATTTAGCCGTCACATTGTAAAAATAAATGCAATGTACATCCACATGTCAACTCCGTCTTTATCAAGAAAATTACCTAAACATTAAACAACTAAACATTATGAAATATCTGAATTATGATATCTGGCAACTTACGACAGTCGACCCGAGACGGCTGACACATCCAACAAAAACAAAACCTGTGAGGTAAACATTAGAGTGTTTATAAACAACTCTTGTAAACATTTATTGGTTTTACCAATGTATCTAAAAACAAAAACTATTTCTCAGGATTGTGAATACTTTTATATTTCTGGACTTAAAAATAGGGAAATTGTTGTAAATTTCCATCGTTTGTGAACTTGTCAATAATACGGAACATACAACAGAAACACATTATTCATGAAGCAGTTGTAGTGAAGGAGATGTAGAATTTGTTTACCAAAATAAATATGCTATTTATGATTAATGTTACACATACCAGCAATATTCCAGCTACAACAAGAATAATGTTCATAAATTTAGTTTCGGTCGAATTGCTTTTAAAACTTATCAACCAGCTGGGGAAATCATCTCAGCTACGTACACATAATTTCCATTCAATTTTCAGATAATTATTAAGAAAACTACAACTATTTAAACATCATATATTAGACATACCAATCAAGTTTAACATGCAATATATAACAAGTTTTATGGATAACAACTTCTTTATTTTCGTGAGTGCGACGTTTCGATACAGATTCTTGTACCGTTGTCAAGCAAGAGTGATACATGAAGTGTAGGAGCTGCATATATATACTGTATATAACAATGAAACAACATAATAGACAAGGGGAAACAACATAATTGCCATGATTGGCTAAGCAGTAAGCTGATGAAGCCAGTAAGTACATAAAGGATAGTGAGAGGAAGCCAGAGATGTAGTTACAATGAGATGTTTATACAATGGATGCGATGTTTATACAATAGACTGGGCTTGGTGGAGGAGTGGATCATAAGCAGATGGAATGAAGTATCCTTGGTCACGGTTGATGGTAGGCTTGTGCCGTTTGATGTGAATGGCTTCTGTGAGCTTGCGTTTAGTGAAGTCCGTTTGGTTGTTGGCGAGAATGGTAATGTCGGACCACTCTATTTGATGATTGGGGTTGGCTTTGATGTGGTCAGAGATAGCTGATTTGGTGTCGGAATTAGCAACAGAGGTGCGATGTTCTTTGACTCGGGTGTTGATGGGTCGGGATGTTTCACCTATGTAGCATTGTCCACAATCACAGTCTATTTTGTAAATAACACATTTCGGGTTGTTGTTGTTGACGGTGGGTTGTTTTCTTCCGTTGGCATGGAGGAGGTTGTTGAGGCTGGAGGACGCTGAGACACCCACCGTCAACAACAACAACCCGAAATGTGTTATTTACAAAATAGACTGTGATTGTGGACAATGCTACATAGGTGAAACATCCCGACCCATCAACACCCGAGTCAAAGAACATCGCACCTCTGTTGCTAATTCCGACACCAAATCAGCTATCTCTGACCACATCAAAGCCAACCCCAATCATCAAATAGAGTGGTCCGACATTACCATTCTCGCCAACAACCAAACGGACTTCACTAAACGCAAGCTCACAGAAGCCATTCACATCAAACGGCACAAGCCTACCATCAACCGTGACCAAGGATACTTCATTCCATCTGCTTATGATCCACTCCTCCACCAAGCCCAGTCTATTGTATAAACATCGCATCCATTGTATAAACATCTCATTGTAACTACATCTCTGGCTTCCTCTCACTATCCTTTATGTACTTACTGGCTTCATCAGCTTACTGCTTAGCCAATCATGGCAATTATGTTGTTTCCCTTGTCTATTATGTTGTTTCATTGTTATATACAGTATATATATGCAGCTCCTACACTTCATGTATCACTCTTGCTTGACAACGGTACAAGAATCTGTATCGAAACGTCGCACTCACGAAAATAAAGAAGTTGTTATCCATAAAACTTGTTATATATTGTACGTCTCAACTTCTAAAATGCCACTCAAACAAGTTTAACATGGCTGTCTATGGGATAAATTAAAATTAAGTTGTACTTATGGTGCTTAATCGGGTGCCATTCGATAACTAATGAACGAAAAGATGAAAAGCAATCATGTACACGTGGCTGAAGATGATTTCCAAGATGTTAGCAAAATATCAAAACAAAATCATCACTTCTACTCAATTTATGTTGTTTTTTTCTTGCAACAGTTAATTAACATGTAATTAGTCTATGGAAATTTCACTAATGATGACTCACTTATGGCCAATGACTGTATATGATCGTGATTGATACGAGGACATTTGTAACACCCGACACTAACGCATGCCGATTGTTCGTGGTATAAGAAACGTATTTCATCAACGCACTTGTGAATACTATATTAAGTAAGAATAGCCTTATCACAGTTTCGTTCGTTCATTATGATTTAAGTTGTTACAAGGGAAAATTTCATAAGACATCTACTGTGTGCAGATACTGTAAATTGAATGTCCTGGAAGATGAATACCATGTTCTGCTAATTTGTGATCATTATAGAAACATTAGATGCAAATATATGCCTTGTTATGTTACGAAACAGCATTCAAAACATAAATTTATCCAACTGTTGTCTACTTCTAACCGTATATTTATTGAAAATATTGCTTTGTATATCTATCATGCTATTTTGAAGAGAAATCCACTCTGCTTTTGAACTTTGTAAATACCTGTACTATGGGCCTGTGGCCTTCAGTTCTGAATAAAGATTGATCGATTACTATTTAGCAAAATATTATATTACGACGTAAGGATTCGGGATTAGAATACGTCCCCAGGATAGGACATATCTTAGCATAGGTGAGTGAGTGAGTTAGGTTTTATGCCGCATTTAGCAATATTCCAGCAATATCACGGCGGGTAACACCAGAAATGGGCTTGACACATTGTACCCATGTGGGGAATCGAACCTGGGTCTTCGGCGCGACGAGCCGAACTAGGATATCCCACCAGCCGAAGAGGGATTCAAAGCTATCTGACATGGGTTTATCCTGGTAACAGTTTATGAAGCTCACATGCATTGTCCAAAATGTTTCTTTTTACAAGGAAATACTTATGCTATATGCTATTATACTATAATATTGTCATAAAACATAAAACTGCTCCTCAATACTTTGATTCTGGACCGAGAATCACTAACATCATCCTTACAAAACTACGTTACATGTGTAGTCAGTTGAATTATGATCTATTCCGTGCTGGTTTAAGCGATAACCCAAGTTGTTCTTGTGGAAATGTTTGTGAAAATTCTTATCATTACTTATTTGACTGTCAATTATATACAGTACAGAGAACTACCATGATGACTAATTTACGCAGTATTACAAATGTGGATATAACCTATGAGTTACTAATACATGGCAATGCAGATCTGACTGTTCACATAAATCAAAACATATTTAAAATTGTTCAAACATATATTTGTCATTCAAAACGATTTTCTTAATTGTTGCAATTGTTCCTCTTTTTCCCATATTTCTGTTCTGTTCTTCTCTGTCCATCTTGTAGAATGAATGTAAATAATACTATGTAAATACTACGGAGAGGGTGTTCTAAGTTGTATAACTTGTACCCAATCCTTTTCTCATGAATAAAATATGTTTAAAACAAACAAACAAACAAAACAAATACTTATGCGATATTCAGTCATTCATTTGCATGGAATAACATTTCCTCATAGAATGTGATATGTATACAGGTGTACGATATAAAATGTTTACATATAGTATACACGATCCCATTTGTCAACACCTCTTTATCAGCTGAAAGGTCATGCACATCTGAAATACCCAACACATTATCCAAACAGTGGGTATTGGCGTTCCAACCATGTCAAATGTTTTATTTGTGCTTTGTTTTGTGAGATGATAATGCTGACATACTGATGAGCAATAGAAACTTTCTCTTGCAAAATTTTTCATAGTATTAACATATTAAAATATAATCAAATGCAAATTGCCCCATAGTTATTGTCAACAACAAGGGTTCGATTCTGATCAACATCAGCGCCAAACGCACCTCTTGAAAACTTTGCACCGAAAACAGCAAAATGCACGTGTTTGCAAGTAATGGTATAAAACCACCTCACAGCACAGAGCAGATCGTACTTCAGCAGAAAACCACTTTACAATGCCGAGGTTAACTTCAGCAGAGCGAGAGAGGGCCATCGGAATGCTGCAAATGGGCGCTGCAACGGGTCACGTTGCAAGAACCTTCAATTGCTCCGTCGTGACCGTCAGGAACTTTCGTCGTCGTCACCAATAGACTGGTCAGACCTCAGACAGGCCCCAGACAGGCAGACAGGTGACAATTGCGCAGAAAGACCGCCACCCGAGGACGTTACACATTAGAAACCCCTTCATGACGTTAACGTCATCTGCGTCAACAGCACTCAGTCACCCAGTGAATCGAAGGATAGTGTCAAGGAGACTACGGGCCTATGGTATCAGGGCCTACCGACCGTTCCGAGGAACGCTGCTGACAGACAGACATGGTCGCTCGAGTTGTCCAGAACTTCTTTCACGCCAACAACGTCAATGTCCTGCCATGGCCTGCACGGTCTCCTGACATGTCGCCAATCATCGAGCACGCATGGGACTACCTTGATAGAGTTATTCAACGGAGACAGAATCCACCGGTTACGGTGCAGCAAATAGCTCATGCCCTGTCGAAGAAGGGAGGCGAATCCCAGCTGACGTCATCAGACGCCTCACAACTTCAATCAGAAGACGTGTGTTTGCATGTATTCTATCCAGAATATTAGACTTCTGTTCACGCTTTGCTGTGTTTCCCGAATGGAACCACTGATCGTGAATTCTCTAGTTTGACCCCATGTCGACATAACCTGTTCAATCAGTTTTCAGCTTTGTAAATATCGAACGTTTGTACTTAGCACGTGCCTATGTCATTGCTTCACAAATTATAAATTGCAAACTTCGATTTCTTCTTGTTTTAACCTGAGATCAAATTGAACAAGGCGAAAGATGCCTTTGCTCGTCAGTATATTATAAGTTATTCACTGGTCACGAGGGGGACATGGGTTGATGTACCCTCGATGTTTGTTTATGTTCCCTGAGCCCGAAGGACCAGTGAACGTTAACGTATTTATCTTACCGAACACCTTAATGTTAATTTTGAATTGTTTGAAGCACTGGTACAAATCGTTTTGTAGCCATCGCTAGATTTTGCTGACAAGAAAAACAGATTAGAGTTATTTCCCTTCCATCGATTTGCATTCGCAAAACATCGGTAATTTCCGTACATCATTCGTGATTCAATGTAATTCGAGATAAAGAATTACTACCACGAAGTACCAAATGAGTTGCCATTGACAGCAGGGTACACTGAAACGTTACTCGCTTGTAAGCGGGGTACATTGAAAACATTAGAAGAGCGGTCAACCAATCAGAAAGCGACATTTATGTGTGAGGTAAAATAAATATTCTTGTATTGCACTGTCCTGTATTGTATGCATCTAAATTATATCTAATGTTACCTCTGTCATTTCACATTTCCTCTTACATTACACCAAGACCAACAGCTGTCAAGATCACATTTCACCCAGGATTCCCAGTACCTATTTTGAAAGCTTGACCACTTTTGCTGACCACTGGTGAATTTCGGCATCATTTTCTTGTGTACATATTTTCCATGTTTTGTATTATACCATTATTGTATTTATAATGCCATTGAAATTTTACTCTTATTGCATTTGCAATATCACCATAATTCTATTGCAGAAATATATATCAATTATAAACTTAGTTAACATTAGATACAATTTGTTATTTGTATAACATTTCTTTGATGTTTCTTGTTTAACAAATGTCCGGTTACCTTACTTTCTTCAACATGGATATTGACATGTGAAAATAAATTTAGGAATTACATGGACAATCTTGTATTCTATTGTACGACATACTTATTATTCGTAAACATATCAAGACAAACAAACGTGCTGCAATGGGAGGAATATTATTTGATTATGACAATAGTCATTGTTTTCCTTATTCTTTTCCTCTTTCTACATCGAGATATTTATATCATAAAATATATATGTTTACATGTATATGTTTGGGAGACAATATGCGGAAACGGTACATGTTCAGGGTATCAGTACTCTCTGTTATTACTTCCTACATGTACATACATGAATAGAATCTAAAACCTGTACCCAGTGCCCTTCACATTCAGATCAACTGTATGCTACCGATTCCCGTTATGTTTTGTGTATACTATTATATGCAAATCCTTCTTCTTCTGATAACTGCTGGAATACTGACCATTTAAGGCTCGTGTCAATGAAATGTCACACATTCATAAAGGTTGTATATTGTACAAAATGTTTAGGTTTAAAACAGCTGCTCGACATACATATCGTTAAACCTGCTTAGGACTCGTGTTGAAGTCCTGAAAGAAACAGGGCCCTTATTCTCGAAATGATCGTAGCCCTAAGAATTCTTAACTTTGATCGAAGCCAATGTATTAAGAATGGGCTACGAGACGTGTCGAGAATAGCTAGCCAGGTTTTGCATTTTTAACCATCAGGTTTAGGACAACACAGAATATGTGTCTTTTAAACAAACCGTGGAGTTGAACAAGAATTGTTGACTCATTTGAAATTGGAGGACCTTGGTGTTGATGTTGATGTTGTCTTAGTGGAGAGGAAGCCGTTATGCTAATACATGCAATTGTCAACATATAGGTACCGATCACAATAGCTGACTAATTAATTAATTTTTTTTACAGTGATATCATTAAAACGCCGTATAATGACAATAAAAACCATTGTATAACCAAACCGGCTGGGACCATAGTTTCAGTTGCTACGGTTTTCACGTATTTATTTTTGGCTATTGAGGAAAGTCTGTCAGATATATTAAGACTATTTTCTTGGAAAATTATAGCTATTAAAATGTATGACGTTGTAAACTTTAGCGACTTGATGATATTTTACAAGTATGCTCATTCAATGAGGTGAGGTGAGGTGAAATTGGGTTTTACGTCGTGCTTGAGAATATTTCGCTCATATGACGACATGCATGCGTGTGTATGTGTATGTGCGGCTGCTTGTACTAGCCCAGACTGAAGCTGGTTTTATAGTGCTAGCCCACTGAGATACCATACCGCAGTGAAGCATGAATATCCCACTCAGACACATTATACTGACTCCGAGCCGACCAGTCCTTGTTGTACCCATTAATGCCGAGCGCCAGGCAGGGACCAACAAGTACCATATTTTAACGTCTTTTGGTATGACGCGGTCGGGGATCGAACCCGCGATCTTCCACTCTCCGGGCGGACGCTCTAACCACTACACCACGGAGGCGGTCTGCTCATTCAATAATAGACGGACAATGAAACTTAATCATCGCTAATCCAACCAAAGCTATGCATGCTATATACGTATAAGTGAAAAGTGAGTGAGTGAGTTTAGGTTTACGCCGCGCTAAGCAATTTTCCAGCTATATGGCGACGGTCTGTAAATAATCTGGACTAGTCAATGCAGTGATCAACACCATGAGCATCGATCGACGCAACTGGGATACGATGACATGTGTCGACCAAGCCAGCGAGCCTGACAACCCGATGCCGTTAGTCCCCTCTTACGACAAGCATGGGTTACTGGAGATCAATTCTAACCCGGTATAAGTAAAAAGTCGCCTCTGTGTCAAGCAAAAATCGACACGAAAAAAACGTTAATGTCAACATTAGTGTGTTGATAATCTTGAAATATCATAAATTTTTAAATGGTTTCCGGAAACACAATCAGTCTTGACTTTCATCATTTATCACCAAAGGATGCTAGTTTATTTGGGAGCCGATGTTTTAAAACAATTTGCTTAAGTTCACTTCCAGCTATCAGCCAGTTATAACATTGGATGTGGTTAGCAACGTAGATTTCATCAGTAGTATCCATGTTGGAATGTCATGTACACAGTAACTGTTGTAACTATGTTTTACAGGGCAGTGTTTACGATACATAAGTGAACTATCACCAAGGAAGACTATTTTGTCCGGCTCGCTTGTCACAAGTCATTGTGAAATGTAGGACCAATGAGAGAACGCGTTTCACAAAAACAAGTTACACGTCAGCTCGTAGTCTGTCTCACAGTCCCTGAACCACATTATTTTCACTACTGTCAAGCCCTCTCGTCAATGCTAAAGCAAGTCTAGATTTCCTCAGGTTCAGGTTCTGAATCTCTAGTCTCCCTGGGGCTCCTTTTCAATTTAAATGTGCTTGTATGTTACTATCAAAATTATATATATTCAGAGACTAAGCAATAGTCTAGTTAGCTCGCTGAAGGTTGGTCTCGTGGTTGACTTGTTCGTTACACTCGCCGAAGGTCCGCAATACAAGCTAAAAGCGGCAACAATCTTGGACACAACTACAAAACTCAATTTTACCTCACAGCGAAATAACATCCTCGTTGCTGTAAGGAGCTGACCTCTTTTTATCAAATCGGGGACACCGACTGCGGTTAACCGCAGTCTAAGTAAACTTAGGCTCAGTATTATTCGTTAAACTGCTATAATAATACCCCTTCACACTTGAAGCGGAATGAGCCGGAATGCCGTCGGAATGAAAATTCCTGGAGATTCCTGGAAATTCGAACTGCATTCTAAAACTTCTTACTCCATTCCGAATGCACTCCAACTATTCGTGTCAATTCTTATAACATGCCCGAATGTTTTGAACATGTTCAAAACTTTCGAGGTACATTCTAAGTGGAAAAATATCGAACAACATTTGAAATGTATTCTAACTGCATTCTAAATATTCTTACTGCATTCTAACTGCATTCTAAGAATTCTGAACGTATTCGAGGGAGAATCGAAAAGGCAAGCCACTTCAAATGTCCCGAATGCGCCTCGAATGTATTTCGATTGCTGGTGGAATTTAGGTGGGATATTCTTCAAACGTATCGGAATATTTCAATTGCACTTAGAATACAGCTCGAGTGTACATCGAATACACCTCTAATACAGTCAGAACATCCCGAATGTTCTTCAAATGAGCCCTGATGTCACCAGAGCACTGCCGAATCGCATAAAAACGTAGCCACCTGTCACTGAAACTTCGGATATCATTCACAAGTTGTCTCCAGCCTCCTGGCACCACGTTGCGCTGCTCATCTTCCTCATCCACCAGTTGTGGAGATTAGGATAACGATTCCTCATGAAGATGTGCAGGCAGACACAGCATTCAATGACGTCCTTCACAACGGAAGACCTTGGCAGCATGGTGGGGTGGAGGGTTTGCCAACTCTGAGACATGATTCCAAATGCATTTTCCACTACCCGTCGGCCCCTGCTGATCCTGGAGTTGTTGATTCTCTTTGCTGGGTTTTATACCCCACCGTGGAACATTCCAGCAGCATTCTTGATGCATTCGTGTTACATTCTAAGTGAATTTGAAGGACATTTGAAATATTCAAGCTGCATTCTGTTTTAATTCTTTAACATTCGATCCATATTGTGGGGTCATTCCAAGAGCTTTCTGAATGCATTCTATGTAAATTCGTACAGCATTCAAGGTAAGTTCCAAATGAAATTCGAGTGCTATTCACGCAACAGTCGGACCGGCCCCGTACGGCAGTCGAAATTCATTTTAAGTATTCTTAGTGTATTCTAACGGCATTCTAATTATTACCGCTGTATTCCGATTCGTTCGAGCTGCATTCGTGATCTATTACATTTGGAATGAGTAAGAATCATTCGAGGCGGGTTCGAAGTGCGTTCTAAGTATTCCAAAAGTATTCTTACAAAGCTTGAAAAAATTGTTTATTTTGACAAAGTGTACGTCACTAGTGGTAACAAGCATGTGGGGTTTCCTGAGGCCCAATTTAAATAATATTGTTCCCTTTTTGTTACATTGAATTTCAGAATTAATATAATTTTAAGGAAAATATTTTTAGTGAGTCAGTGATTGAGTTTACTTTTACACCGCACTCAGCAATATTCCAGCTATATGGCGGCGGTCTGTAAATAATCGAGTCTGGACCAGAAAATCTAGTGATCAACAGCATGAGCATCGATCTGCGCAATTGGGAACCGATGACATGTGTCAACCAAGTCATCGACCTTGACCACCCTTACGACAAGCATGGGTTACTGAAGATCAATATTCTTACCCGGATCTTCACGGGTCGAATATGTTTTAGGAATCATACGGTATCAGTATAACTTTACTAGAAGCAAGCTCATCCGTTGCTGCGTACCAGCAGTCATGACGTCACTGTTTAATGTGCACACAACATTCCCCGTGCTCATTCGTAACTACTCGTGTCATTACGGAAAAAGGCGAGTAGTTACGAATGTCCCCGTGCTTTGAACAGTGCTTCTTCGTTCACAACGAAAACAGTCCATGAAACTGAAACGGGTTGAACTGTTTCTGAACCTCTGTCAGTGGGGATATCGTAGCACATTTTAAAGCCGTAATTTGGAAACAACATCCTGCCTGTGAAAGTTATTACCGATCGACTTTCTTTACCGAAAACAGTGGTAGATGTACGATGTGGCTACTGCTCTCTCCACAGATTAAACATAACGAGATCAACAATCTACGTCTTTAACAAAGCTACGGGGCCAAAACAAAATGTAAAAAAACCAACACTTCAAAACTGTACATGACCAAAAAACTGAAAACGTTACGAAAACGTGGTTACGTTGAAAACAGTCGCCGAGCAGGTCCGAAACAAGGAAGAATCATTCTTGTTTGTTTCAAATTAGCCACTGTCAACCATAATTCTCTCTCATTTCAAATTGGAAACAGATATATTAAATAGTTCAGCCATTAGCATCCCTAACGACACTATCGCCCATGCCTGGTGTTCCCTAGACTAACGCTTAGTCTCTGAATATATATAATTTTGATAGTAACAAATAAGCCCATTTAAACTGAAAAGGAGCCCCAGGGAGACCAGAGATTCAGAACCTGAGGAAATCTAGACTTGCTTTATTTGGGGCTTTAGCACTGTAGAGAGGGCCTGGCAGTAGTGAAAATAATGTGGTTCAGGGACTGTGAGACAGACTAGGTGTCCCCCGACGTGATATTGCTGGAATGTTGTTAACAACGGCGTTAAACCATACTCACTCACTCACTCTCTAAAGACATTATCAGATATCGGTGAAACAAAAGCTTAGTTCCAGGTACCATTTAGCATAGTAAGTCTCCCCAGTATGATTAAAATACGTTATGTATTCGTATACTTTCTTTCAAATCTCACAAACCGTACTGAAAATTTGAATCCTGTTTGTTTGCAACATCTTCTACGAGAGTTAGCTTCGACACACAATTGAGATAACGCAGTCATACATTGATATGTGATTTAACCTTTAATAACATTAGTTTGGGGCTGTAGATGTACAGTATAGTCAGTTCGGACTGACCATGCCCCTTTCACATCCGGGTAGGTGGAAAATACTGTATCAACGCACGTTCGTTCAAGGAGGTGCAAAATACAGAGTACATACGTCATCATATAGATAATGCTTTTGTCACACGACCATATCACCGTATGTCCCAATAACCATACACAGTGAAACATTCCACAGTGGAAAAATGTGTCACGTGTCAACTGTGAGTGTGAAAGGTGTGTGTCCGTGTAATACCTTTACACTTTCACACATAGTATATATACCAGGTCATCTTGATCTTCGCTCGTCTAGTTCCGAAACAAAGCGCTGCTTTATACATCACAGATTGATATAAAGACTATTACCATGTGATCTAAATTAAAACAGTTAACAAAAACACTTTATTTATTTGTTCGTTTCATTTATTTATTTATATATTTGTGCGTTCAATTCATTTATTCATTTTGTATTTATTTGTTCGTTAGTTCGTTTTATATATTTATTTATTTGTTTCCATATTATTTATTTATTTATTCGTTTCATGTATATATTTAAGTGTGCATTCGATTCATGAATTCATTTTTGTATTTATTTGTTCGTTAGTTCGTTTTATTTATTCATTTATTTATTTTGTGTTTTCGCCCACTCACTCTATGGTTGGTTAAGGTTGGAGATGAGAAACACATGAAAACTATATGGATGGCCTAAGCTTCCTTGAGCTCAAAATAAGTTGAGGAAGGAAACAAGGAATGACAAGACTAACACCAGTGATCTAACAGTAGAATCGGGAGTTCTTTAACGTCTTTGGAATTGTATAAATAAACGTTTTGATCCCAAAGATGCATTGAACGCCACACAAGATTTAATGGATTTGCTAGGACGTTAACCAGCAACTCGAGTTGTCAACCCCAACAGTTCCCTATGAGTGTAGGTAGACCATATGATTCCCCACGTCACTGAATAATACCACTATTTTGACTTATCATTGGCTTATGTCTCATATAACTTTTTAACCGCCATAAATTAGCTGAAGAGGAGCACATGGGTAGAATTCTGTTTTTCTTGGAGTGCAGCATTGCTGTGTCTTAAATTTAATTGTATCATCCTTGGTTTGAGAGCACAAACATGGATATCGATAAGTTTTTATGACAAGAGTCAAACAAAGGCGTAGTATATTGCATTAATTTCAAAAGGCCTGTCAGCTATTCATTAACTACACCCCGTAGTGTATGTACTGTTTTAATAACATCTTCTTTATATCTTATTTGTTCGTTTATTAATTGTCCGAAAGGGTTTGCGCATTTCAGAATATCAACAAGCACATATCACCTCGTCGTTTAGCATTGTCTACACAATATTTGAAACTATTGAACAGTAAATAGACGGTGTTACAATTGCTCTGTAACTTCCTAATTGAAACACCATCTATTTAATGACACGTCTGTTTATAACATGTTTATTAACACTTAGGGAGAGATCAAGTCTAAGCACTAGAAATTAAACTTAAGTGATTTTTGTTGGTCATTATGTAAACTAACATCGTATGAATTAAACTCCAGTTTTTTGCTCTGGTCTTGTAAGGCAAGGAAGAGCATGGGTAGTCTCCTTTGCCTTGCACATCTTGCAAAAAAAGTACTGTTTTACACCTTCGTTCCCCCGGGACTTCGGCAAGACTTTACTAAGCACGTTTTGCACCGAGTATCTTGGCGTAGATACGTTTGCTTTAACGAAGAAAAAACGTTTGTGATAGTTTTCTATGAATGCGACGCGATTTCAGATTTCCCCGCGAGAGAAGACTTACGAAAACATTCGACGTTACCAAGTGGTTATTAGGTTTAGACAATCAAAATGGAATTAAGCCATTCTCTGCTGAAGCGGAATTGCTTAGCCGCGAGGATTTCCTAGTAGACCCATCATGCATTGCAAGGGGGAATTACATCAAATACGGCAAAATTTCCATGTTTACATATTCGCTGACCGTGAAGCGTGAGGGGAAGTACTGTCCAAATCTGAAATAGTGGGGTATAGGCCTGTATACACCCGTACAGTATATACTATTGAAACGCCGGGTAAACATTAGGCTCCACAATAAATATGACATAACAAAATGCTCAGCAAGGCTAATAGTATTCTTTTGCATCAAATATATGTATGTACGTCTTTCAGTCTGTTCGTCTGTGTGTGGACTGGTTTCCTTGTTCCGGTGTAACTGCACCACTCCCCACACGCACCGCATTACGGAGACTAGTCTTCAGTACATATTGGCAGCACTCAGATTCGCTTTGCATATTCCGATAAATATATAATACGTAATAGTGTTTGGTATTCGTATGTAAGTCTAGTATTTCCGGGGGCGTTGAGGTAGCCTCTTGGTTAAAGCGTTCGCTCGTCACGCCGAAGACCCTGGTTCGATTCCCCACATGGGTGCAATGTGTGAAGTCCATGTCTGGTGTCGCCCGCTGTGATATTGCTGGAATATTGCTAAAACCGATGTAAAACTTAACTCACACACTTAACGGATGTGAGTAAGACGGAATGTATCTATGGTTGCAGTGAGCGCAGTTGACAGCATCTACCCGGAAGACCCGGAAGTACGTGTCCAACATTTTCGATAAAATCAGTAACCAATATTTGTGATTACCCATTCCTTACACGTACAATTGGAAGTATGCCAGGACGAACCTATTTGTTAGACAACAGGTCACATAACACAAGACGTATCTACTGACATCATGTTCTAAAGAAAGGGACCGGCCTTTTTCTTGTCCATGTAAATATATAACTGCACGGAATGACCGGATGAATGTTATGATTCACATGGTTGATAACATAAGCACATATCAAACACATCATTTAACCCATAAATATCATGTCAGGGATTTTTTTTCATTTCCTACAGCGAAAGTAAGATCAACGTAGTATTACCCCAAAATGAAAGTGAAAAACACATTATCATGAAAATAATAATAATTACAAAAGCATATGAATTGAAATTGATTATCATTTTCGTATTCAATTGAAGTCATGACAGCACCTTGCTCTGGTACGAAAAAAGTCGCAGCTGAAGCCGGAGAAGATTGGACTGGGTTGGATTGGATTGGAGAGAGAGAGAGAGAGAGAGAGAGAGAGAGAGAGAGAGAGAGTTAAATTTGATACAGTTGTGTGTGTGGTTGTGCGCGCGTGCGTGCGTGCGTGCGTGCGTGCGTGCGTGCGTGCGTGTGTGTGTGTGTGTGTGTGTGTGTGTGTGTGTGTGTGTGTGTGTGTGTGTGTGTCATCCCTGCTCTTTCTTACACACCAATTCTATCAAAGTTCAAAGAGTTATTTTTCCCAGTGAACATGAATAGCAATAACGGATTTTCGGTCTAGTCACTTTTCCACATCAATGCTAAAAAAGAGAACACATTCACATACAAGCAATATGTAGGTTTGATAAGCACTTGATCTCTTAATCAAAGATGATGATTCTGAACTAATTGTCGAAAACTTCGTGGATACTCACGTCATTCGTGTATACGATGTTTGTAGGTGTTTCTCACACCTTGTCGATAGCATATTACTTCCGTGTTGATGGCGAAATCGGTCAGTCAAATCACCGCTGTCCAGGGATTCCGGAGGTTACTAATTACCTCTTATTAACTTCTCTTTGACAACACGTAAACATCAAAAGTTGGCAGCATCAGCCACTTGTATGTGCTCAGATGCTCTGCCAATGTACTTTCTCATATGTCAAGGCAGGCCCAGTCGGTGCGATCACTCTATTGGTGGCTAATATTAGAACTGGGTAATTTTATTACAGCTTCCTAGTTACTTATGAATTAAGAATTGACGCACTTCGATTATGTTGATGACTCAAATGTGAGCATAATATTCGGTTATGCATGATGGAATTTCCTTATATTTATTTACACTTTTCTCTGGTCGCGCTTTTTATGCATGGTGGTATAATGTTTTTATTGATTTGAAGCATTCGTAAAATGTTATTTTGTGTTCAGGAACGGGTGCCCGCATGTATGAGCAGCGGTCGACGCCGGAACTTGCAAAATCATAGAACCTGATGTCAAACACGTCGGATCTCTATACCTATCTATTCCTCAGTGTCATGACATCAATACTTCACGGCTCTATATATGCTGCATTCCTCCAAATCATGACTTCAGTACTTCACGGCTCTGTATATACTGCATTCCCCCAGGTCATAACATCAATACTCCACGGCTCTGTATATGCTGCATTCCTCCAAATCATGACGTCAGTACTTCACGGCTCTATATATACTACATTCCTCCAAATCATGACGTCAGTACTTCACGGCTCTATATATACTGCATTCCTCCAAATCATGACGTCAGTACTTCACGGCTCTATACATACTGCATTCCTCCAAATCATGACGTCAGTACTTCACGGCTCTATATATACTGCATTCCTCCAAATCATGGCATAAATGTTTCTCGGCTCTGCATATGCTGCATTCCCCCAGGTCATAACATCAATACTTCACGGCTCTGTATATACTGCATTCCTCCAGGCCATAGCATCAATACATCACGGCTATGTATATACTGCATTCCTCCAAGTCATGACATCAATACTTCACGGCTCTGTATATACTGCATTCCCCCAGGTCATAACATCAATACTTCACGGCTCTGTATATACTGCATTCCTCCAGGTCATAACATCAATACTTCACGGCTCTGAATATACTGCATTCCTCCAGGTCATAACATCAATACTTCACGGCACTGTATATATAACATCAATACGTCACGGCTGTCCATATACTGCATTCCCCCAAAACATTACGCCAATAGCTCACGATTCCGCATACTCTACATTCCCCCCAAATCATTGCTTCAATACCTCACGATTCCGCATATTCTACATTCCCCGAAAACATTGCTTCAATACCTCACGATTCAGCATATGCTTAGTCTACATTGTTACATTCATCGAAGTGATGGCGTTAAAAGTTTTTTCACCGTATAATTTTCACCACCAATTTGCCTGTTACGCTGAATGGAATTAGTTTCGGAGAATCATTATTATATGGCGATAATGTTTTATTTTTACACATAGATCCATGACAGCAGGGTTTGGATGGATTGCCAGGTGGATTTCTCGAAAAGTTACTGAGTGAAAGTAAGAGATGAAAGTGTTCGCCCCCAACCTCCACCCCCTCACCACCTATGATTATTATTATGATTATCCATATTAATTAATCCATATGTACATGACTCTTTCTACACTTCCGGGTGTCATGATCTTAGAGACAATAATAAGGGTGTTTGCTAGGAAGTCTTACCTTTGATACCAGACACGATCATTGCGCAACTGATAAATGACGCATCAATTACACGTCTATGGAATCTTAGAAGGGACATTGTCGCGTTGTTGCCTTTACAAAAACACGCTAGTGAGTGAGTGAATTTAGTTTTACGCCAGACTCAGCAATACTCCAGCTATATGGCGGCGGTCTGTAAATAATCGAGTCTGGACAAGACAATCCAGTGATCAACAACATGAGCATCGATCTGCGCAATTGGGAACCGATGACATGTGTCAACCAAGTCAGCAAGCCTGACCACCGGATCCCGTTAGTCGCTTCTTACGACAAGCATAGTCGCCTTTTGTGGCAAGCATGGGTTGCTGAATACCTATTCTATCCCGGATCTTCACGGGTCCAAATATACGCTAAAAACATCCAAATTAACCGAACTGCGACAATGCGTTAAATGGCCAAAATGTCAAATGTTTATTTTGACACGTTTGTGCTTGTTTTTATGAAGGCGACCATGTCCCTTCTTGCAATATTCAAGCAATATCACGACGGGGGACACCAGAAATGGGCTTCAAACATTGCATCCATGCTGGGAATCGAACCCGGATCTTCAGCGTGAAGAGTCAATGCTTTAACGACAAGGCTACCTCGCCGCCCCTTTAAGTACGTGGAAGTGATTTGGTTTTAAAACGACCTTCAACAGTATGTAAATGATATTACGTTGTTTGCTTAGTTTAGACAGAAATGACATAAATAGTACTGTAGCAGGGCGTGGAGTCATTCCACAGATGACGGGGTTAACCTCTTTGGTCATGTGGACAAGGCGTCCGACTTCGGAGCAGAAGGTCCGTGTTTCGAATCCCAGCACGGGACTCGGAACTTTTATGGCCGCTACACTACTTCTCAAACTCATGAACACCAGTACAGTACGTTGGTCCAAGAATCTTAATCAGGGATTCGAACCCAGGAGTTTTGTTTTCTGGCACACGTGACGCTTATCGCGGTACCTTGGACCACGAGGCCCCACTCAGTGGCCCTGGGTTCAACTGGGAAAGCATTACACATAATTGTAAACCAAAAGTCACTGTGTTCTTTAATCTGATTGGTTGAAAAACGTGATCAAATAGTATTCGATTCCCGGAAATTCGCTGCGTATTAATACATACAAACATCGCTCACACCATTGTATTGTAACGTCGTCAGCTGTGATGACGTCATTAAAATCATATTGTGACGTAAAGTCCGAATGACGTCACAAATGAACAGTTCCAGATGCTACCATGGGAGACAGCCGAAACGGCCGGCTGATGACATTTCACTGCTGTACCCGTACTCGATGTCAATGAGTGCAGACAGAAAAACGTATGTAGACCTTTTGGTTTACTTTTGTGTTTACAATGTCGATAAACATTATGTGTTGGCCAGTTTCCGGGTGTTATTGAGTATTTGAAGCACGGGAATTATACGCCGTCGGTTTCAAATGGAATATTCCCGTGCTTCAAATACTCAATAACACCCGGAAATTGGCCAACACATGATGTTCATCTCCTAAACTTCATCCGAGAACATCGTTTCTAACCACACACGATGATAAAACGTTGCACCTGTTTCACCTGTATGTTAAGGGCAGCTTTCTGTCTTCAGTGCAGTTTGATGCACCGTATTGTGCTGGTTGCCTAGGAAACGTCAGATAACAATAAAACTGTGGTAGTCACGCATTGTTTACATAACCTATAACTGTTGACGCACGCAGTGTCCCAGTTGAGATATCTGAGACAGACAGCTTGTGTTACCATTGACCTTCCGGGTTGCTTGTTCTTGACTTGATATCAAGATCGCTCAAAGGGCAAAGAAATAGGTATTTACATGGAGCTCGTCAGGTGAAATAACATGACAGGCATGGTCCACGCTGAAAGGGGCACTTTGCTGAAACGTGCTGAACCTGTTTTTGATAATGTAATTGTAGAGTCAACAATCCTTTTACAAAGATTACTGTTAGATGTGGAAAATGTTTTGTCCCTTGTACTTATCTGAATTTAACTGTACATCTACGTTGTACGTTTGAAATTTTAGGAGCAAAAATCATCGTGTCCATAGTGATGTCCATCTCATGTGTTGATGGTGTACATAGTGATGTCCATCTCATGTGTTGATGGTGTACATAGTGATGTCCATCTCCTGTGTTGATGGTGTACATAGTGATGTCATCTCATGTGTTGATGGTGTACATAGTGATGTCATCTCATGTGTTGATGGTGTACATAGTGATGTCATCTCATGTGTTGATGGTGTACATAGTGATGCCCATCTCCTGTGTTGATGATGTACATACTGATGTCCATCTCATGTGTTGATGGTGTACATAGTGATGTCATCTCATGTGTTGATGGTGTACATAGTGATGTCCATCTCCTGTGTTGATGATGTACATACTGATGTCCATCTCATGTGTTGATGGTGTACATAGTGATGTCATCTCATGTGTTGATGGTGTACATAGTGATGTCCATCTGTGTTGATGATGTGCACACTGATGTCCATCTCATGTGTGGATGGTGTACATAGTGATGCCCATCTCATGTGTTGATGGTGTACATAGTGATGTCCATCTCATGTGTTGATGGTGTACATAGTGATGTCATCTCATGTGTTGATGGTGTACATAGTGATGCCCATCTCATGTGTTGATGGTGTACACAGTGATGTCATCTCATGTGTTGATGGTGTACATAGTGATGTCCATCTGTGTTGATGGTGTACACAGTGATGTCCGTCTCATGTGTTGATGGTGTACATAGTGATGTCCATCTGTGTTGATGATGTGCACACTGATGTCCATCTCATGTGTGGATGGTGTACATAGTGATGTCATCTCATGTGTTGATGGTGTACATAGTGATGTCATCTCATGTGTTGATGGTGTACATAGTGATGTCATCTCATGTGTTGATGGTGTACATAGTGATGTCATCTCATGTGTTGATGGTGTACATAGTGATGTCCGTCTCATGTGTTGATGGTGTACATAGTGATGTCCATCTCATGTGTTGATGGTGTACACAGTGATGTTCATCTCATGTGTTGATGGTGTACATAGTGATGTCCATCTCCTGTGTTGATGATGTACATACTGATGTCCATCTCATGTGTTGATGGTGTACATAGTGATGCCCATCTCATGTGTTGATGGTGTACATAGTGATGTCCATCTCATGTGTTGATGGTGTACATAGTGATGTCATCTCATGTGTTGATGGTGTACATAGTGATGCCCATTTCATGTGTTGATGGTGTACACAGTGATGTCATCTCATGTGTTGATGGTGTACATAGTGATGTCCATCTGTGTTGATGGTGTACACAGTGATGTCCGTCTCATGTGTTGATGGTGTACATAGTCATGTCCATCTGTGTTGATGATGTGCACACTGATGTCCATCTCATGTGTGGATGGTGTACATAGTGATGTCATCTCAT